GGAAAGTGACTAGAGGTCTAACATAATTATCCTGCCTATTACGCTAGAGATAGGGAAGAAGGCGATACTAACGTACGCTATAACTAATTCTAGAGCAGAGAGTAAAGGATTTATAGACTAAAGCTGGGCTAATAGCTACAGGCTACCTCTAAGGAAGCGAAAGAACCTCTTTAGCATTGTTACGTTTAAGGGCAATATGTCTATTAAGGGGATAGTAACGCACTATATAGAAACTACTATGCAGGTAGAGGACTACCTAGAGACAATCCAGCTAAACGTGACGCAGCTAGCGCACTACCTAGTAATCCTAGGAATGCCCTAGCTAAAGCAACATAACCTAAAGATTAGCTTCGCTAGCTACACGTTAACGTTTAAGAGCGAGTACTGCTAGAAACACTGTAACACGCCTAGAAGGCTAAACAAGATCTACGCTCTGCACGAGCTCCCGCTAAAATCCCGCCTAATTAACCTGCCTAACCGCCTAAAGCTGCTAAGGAATTAAGATATTGCGAAGGTATCGCTAAACGCTTGCGCTGCGTACGCCCAAAGAAACTACCGTATGTTTACGATTACGATTGAATAGATAGATCGCTATCTGTCCTAGCCTAACACGCCTAAGTTACTAGACCCTAAGTCCCTACTGCTAGAGGAGATAAGGGACTTCTAGGACGTCTTCTCGCCTAAAGAAGCGGAGAAGCTCCCTCTACACCGCTCACACGACTATAACATCTGCTTACTTAATAGCAAGACGCCGCCCTTTAGGCTGCTGTACCCTATGTCCTAAGAAGAACTTAAAGCCTTAAAGGAATAGCTAGAGGAGAACCTGCAGAAGGGCTTTATCTAGCTAAGCTCTTCGCCTGCTGCCTCGCCTGTACTGTTTGTTAAGAAGCTAGATAGAGGCCTCTAGTTCTGTGTCGATTACTAAGGACTAAACAACATCTTAGTAAAGGACTGCTACCTGCTGCCGCTCGTAAAGGAGAGCTTAAATAACTTAAAGGGAATAAAGTACTTCTCTAAGGTTAATATCATCGCTGCCTTTAACAACGTACGTATAAAGGAAGGCTAGGAGTATTTAACTGCGTTCTGAACGCGATTTGGCCTGTATAAGAGTCTAGTAATGCCGTTTAGCCTATCTAGAGCACCAGCTACCTTTTAGAGGTTTATTAACAATACCTTAAGGGAATACTTAGACGTTTTCTGCACTGCCTACCTAGACGACATTCTGATCTACAGCTGAACTAGAGGAGAACACGAAAAACACCTGCGCCTAGTACTAACCGCGCTGCGAAAAGCTAGACTGTACGCAAAGATCTAGAAGTGCGAATTCTTTAAGGAAGAGACTACTTTCCTAGGCGTTATTATTAGACGCGAAGGGATTCGCATAGACCCACAGAAGGTCGAGACAATACAGGAATGGAAAACCCCGTCCTGCCTAACTAACGTACAAGCGTTTATCAGATTTAGTAACTTCTACCGTTAGTTTATACAAGACTTCTTAAAGATTATCGCCCCGCTAGTCGCTCTTATAAGAAAGGGTATTAAGTTTATCTAGAATAGTGACTGCTAGAAGGCCTTCAACCGTCTAAAAACCGCATTTACAGAAGCCCTAATCCTAGCCCCGTTCGACTAGGAAAGGGAGATTATCCTAGAGACGGACGCATCCGACTATGTATCCGCTAGAGTGCTATCTCAGTACGGAGACGATAGGATACTTCGACCCGTAGCGTTCTTCTCTAAGAAACACTTAACGACTAAGTGTAATTATAAGATATACGATAAAGAACTGCTCGCGATTGTACGCTGCTTTAAGGAATAGAGACCTGAGCTAGAAGGAACCGCATCGCTAATTAAGGTTATTACAGACTACTACAACCTAGAGTACTTTACAACTACTAAGTTGCTGAACTAACGACAAGCCCGCTGGTCTAAATTCCTGTCCCGCTTTAACTTCTAGATTACATACCGCCCTAGCAAGCTAGGTGCGAAGCCTAACGCGCTAACTAGGAGGTTAGAAGATCTGCCTAAGGAGGGGGATAAACGCCTGCAGCACTAGAGCTAAGTCGTGCTAAAGAAGGAGAACTTCGATCTGCCTCCAACCCCGCTAGACACGCCCGCTACAACCCCTATACTAGCCGCCGCCTGCCTTGTCAATATACCGCCAACACCACCAGCTTCCCTAAAACCTAAGAAAAAAGTCCGCTTTGCCGTTAACCACTTCGTCCGCCTGTTCCCTATTACACGCGCCTGTGCGATAGGAAGTCTAGAACTAGCAGTGCTAGAACTAGCCGCTAAACCCGCCCGTCCGATACTACTACCTAGGAGAGCTGCACTAATACTACCGCCGACTATAAAGGATCTGTTCACGAAGGGATACAAGAACGACAAAGAACTAAGTTCTATACTAGAGGCCCTCCGTACTAGACAGAGTCGTTACAAGAGGATCACACTCGCCGAGTGTGTAGAGCGTGAAGGCTACCTGTATTATCGAGACCGCCTGTACGCGCCTAATAACCCTAAGCTACATGCTAAGCTACTACGGATGTACCACGAGAGCCCTGTCGCCGGCCACATAGGCCGATCCCGAACCTACAAGGCACTATCCTAAGAATACTACTAGCCTAGAATGCTAGACTACGTTAAGCAATAGGTTCGGAACTGTTACACTTGTAGACGAATTACGACGTCACGAGAAGCAAAACAAGGAGTCCTAAAACCGTTACCAATACCTAACCGAGCCTAGCAAGATCTGTCTATAGACTTTATCACGCACCTGCCTAAGAGTAGTGGATTTAACGCTATCTTAGTCGTAGTAGACAGACTTACTAAGATAAAGCACTTTATTGCTTGCTAGGGTACCTGCGACGCCAAGGAGGTATCGCGCCTATTCACGAAGTACGTCTAGAAGCTACACGGCCTCCCTAAGACTATCGTATTAGACTGAGGACCACAGTTCGTATCCGAGTTCTAGAGCCACCTAACCCGACGCCTAGGGATCTAGTCTATCCTATCTACTGCGTACTACCTAGAAACTAACGGGCAAACGGAGAGAGCGAACTCCTTCCTAGAACAGTACTTGCGAAGCTAAGTTTCGTACCTGCAGGATGACTAGGCGAGATGGCTACTGCTAGCCGAATTTGCGGTAAACAACGCTAACAACGAGAGCACCCGCACAACGCCATTCTTCGCGAACTACAGCTTCTACCCCTGCCTAGGATTTAAGCCTGTTAATCTAAGCCGACAGCCAGCGGCGCAAGACGCTGAAAATCTAGCCCTAAAGATAAAAACCGTCTATAAGTACTTGCGCTCTAAGATCTGTGTCGCACAAGCCTAGCACGAGAAGTACGCTAACAGGAAACGCAAACCTGCCCGCCAGTTCTTTGAAAACGACCTAGTGTAGCTTAACGCCTAGAATATTAAGACCGCCTACCTGCAGAAAAAACTAGACTGGAAATTCCTAGGACCCTACAGGGTCACTAAGGTCGTCAGCCCGTATGCTTACCGCCTAGAGCTGCCTGCTTCAATGAAGATCTACCCTGTGTTCTACGTGAGCCTGCTCCGCCCAGCTGCGACTGACCCCCTGCCTGGGCAGCGACAAGACCCGCCTCCTCCTGTCGAAGTCGAGGGAGTCGAGGAGTGGGAGGTCGAGGACATCCTAGACTCCCGCTAGGACCGCCGCGGCCGTGGAAGCCGGCCCTAACTAAAGTATATAGTGAAGTGGGTTAGATACGACGAGCCTACTGAAGTACCAGCCGACTACGTCGAGAACGCCCAGGAGATTGTCAAGAACTTCCACCGCCGTTACCTAGACAAGCCCCGTTAATCGCGTCGTCAGAGCTCCGCCTAAGGAGGGGAGTACTGTCACGGCGCTGACCTAGATAGCCTATTAGAGCGCGCTAAGCTGCTAAGCGAGCAGCTGCGCGATCGCTGAAATTCCTGCGCGAACGCGCCCTGTCGTACGCTCCTTAAGCTACGTCCTTGTCTTAGCCTAACCCCGTACTATCAGCGATATCGTAGTGAATATACTGATCACGTGCACCTACCTTCCCTGCCTGCCGACCCCGTGACAATACTCCTCTTTTATACTTAAACTAGAATAAGATTACACATCTTACTAACTTCTCTACTACCTGCTATACTAGTGACTACTTAGCTCGTAGGGATTACGTCTTTATATCCTTATACACCCGTACAGTATTACGACCTTAGAGGCCCTGCAAGTAGGGCGATAACCTGCGCTCTGCGCGTTAGGAGAGGAACAAGAATTATTCTGACGACTTCTCTACCTAGTGTAGTAATCTAGAGCTTCCCCCTACAATTCTCTTGTAGTGTGAAGCAAATACTATTGCCTATAACTACCCCTTATAACTACCCCTTACAATTACATCGATCGACCAATCGTGCTGGCACAAACCTCTTGTCTATCGTCGCTCGCTCATTCCCCAAGAACTAACCTTACATTATCTTCGGATGATCTTCAAAACAATAGTCAATTGGTTTTGGCAAAGTCCAACTGCTTGAGTGAGTTTACTTGTTGTTGTAATGGCTTGTAATAATGATAGGCAGCCTCCCAACATCTGTGCAAATTCAACATAGCTTTAGAAAGAATATAGCATTCGGCGCGCCTAGAATAGCTTAGTCGAGCTGTTTGAATATAGTACACGCTAAACGTCTGTGTAGAGTGGTGAGCCAATACGCGGGGGGTTATCTCTTAGCATCTCCAAAGGTCAATCACGATCACGTGGCAAGTCCTAGTTGGTTGTGATATGGCATATCAGACAAAGATAGACGATTGGGTATCTAGAGCGTACTGATCACAATATAATGGGCCCGAACAGATAGGCCCAGGCGAAGCGTGTTATCATGAATTCCCGCAAGTAGAAGCCTACATATCAGCTTGCTTGCGCCGCTGAAGTGACAACCCCAAGCCCAAGTCCGTTTTCACTTAACCCATGAATAGAGTCAGTATGAATACACATACAAAGTTAACGATATGGTAAGACTTACAGTGAATGAATAGAGGCACGCGCATTACGTTCGTCATCAACCTCGGGAGAATCATCAGCCGAGTCAGTTCCATTCATCGCGCTATTTTCTTCGTCCTCCTGGATGTTCTGTCTGTCGTGAAAATTATCCTGCTCACCCAGGACCATAACTTCAGGAAACAGTTGACCCCATAGCCAGATAGCCTGCTTGAAAACACGTTCACAGGCTAACAGTTCTGCGCCACCATTCTTTGAGGTCTGGACATTGACAAGCTCATCGACCATTGACTTGCATGCGGCTACAAAGCAGCCAAAATTTTCTGATTTCCAGTTTTCGATAAGTGCTTCGCGGAGGGCCCGGTTATGGTCGTTACTAGTCTGTGCTTGGCCGCGCCAAGGTATCGCCGGTGTCTGAAAAGGGACGGAGGAAGAAGGAAGGTAGTGGGTATCTTGCTGTGTTATCCGTGATGTCGATTGATTGACGAATGTGCCTGCGTAGGAGAAGGAGCGGTAGAAAAGCTGGGAGCTGGTCAGCTTATAGCAATCGGCAACATCGTAATACAACTTACTAACTCGATGGCCCAGAGCATAACCATTCCCTCAAGTAGCGTTGCAGACGGGCATGATGCACTGTTAAATAGATCGATGAAACCTTTGGTAGGTGGTCTAGGTTCATCAAACTTCACTCCTAGCCCATATTTCCGCTTAGCAGCTTCAAGGAATTCCAACTCTTTTTTCGTATTGTTTACCGCAGAGCATAGCAAGTCTAGGCAACGAAATGTTGAATCAAGTTCTAGGTCAGGGGTTTCCGGTATACGGATCTTGCCTATAAGTGTTCCGGTAAAGGAGATTAGTGACCGCGAGATATATCCAATTTGTGCGAGCCACTGGTTAAGAGCATCCTTAGTGAGCGATCCACAACCTGCGTGCATCAAGAAGATGTGACGACTAGCACCCATTAGTGCATCTTCAGTTTGATCCAGTAAATGGTTGGCTAACGAAGGGTTTGGGCCGAGAGTGTTAGTGGTAGTTCCACCACGAGGTTGATTCAAACCGAGACCATTGACCACGAGATTGGGATTTGGTTTCGCACCATTCCAAACGCCCGAGTTCTGATTTTGCTGTTCGTTTCGGGCCAGGTTTTCTTTCATCAATAGTTCTTGTCCTTCAGTAGTTGACAGGAACTCCTTGCATTCAGCGAGATGTTCCGCCTGGCGGGTTGTATTTTTGGCTCGAACAAAGCCACAGCTTAGGCATCGGACACATGCGCACTAGTTGGGTCATTAGTGAACATCTTGGAAAATTACATGCTTAGAACCCACCTTGCGACCAGAGCTGTCGTCGAAGAACTCGTCAAAGTACTTGTTCATGTTCACCCTCCATCGTGGCCGCTGTATTGTTGTGATGTTTTTTGAAGGCAGGGACGTATCATCAGGATTGCAAGCTTCACTAAGACTGCGTCGGCCGGTAGCGTCGTAGGGATTCGGTGGAGCCAATTCTTGACCGTTGCCCGCCGCCCTCCATGCTGCGTATTCCTGACAGATGCGGAGATGGTCCTGGAATAACGGTGAGTTTCGTTGATCTCAAGTCGAGTTTGAACATTTGTTATTGAAGAGTCTGACCTTCTTGCGACCAAGATTTCTGGCGCTACCTCGCCAATGTTTGCAATGGTAACACTGAACAGTTTCTCCTGAATTGGCACCATCGACCTGCTCAAACTACAAGATCTCTCAACGACTGTACGGAGAATGCTATGATGCTATGGGCTTGCGCATAATACCTGACTGTGTGTGTACGTGTCTATTGGACGAGCCATGGCACTTGCAGGGCGATACAATGACTGAAACAAAGTAGTCACTAGATATCGCTTCGATTACGAAGTACAAAATGTGACGCGCTAGTAGGGATAAAAAACTGTATGAGAGAATAGATGGCTGACAGCAGGATTGTACGGAACACATGTAATGTAATATCGAATTCTGATGACAGGGCCCATTTTGCTCCTGGCATACCGCCTAGCTACGTGCATGCATGCTTTTATTGGCGAAAAACGTACTACCTAGTCCTATATATGTAGCGTGATAAATTAGTAAGCTAGACAGATCACCAAGCTGAACAGCCCACCAAATCGCCGTAACTGTGTGTACGCCAACGACAATGAAGCGACAACAACGTCTGCAACAACAACGTCCGCAACAACAACGTCCGCAACAACAACTGTATCACCAAGGCACACTTTGTCTAGCTGTACGACAGTTTTAGCCTAACCTACGTTAATCTCTCTACTCGCTCGCGACAGCGCACGACGTCCTAAAATCTTCCCTATATACGCGTCTTGAAATTGGCAGGTGTCAGCACTATATATTACAGGGCGAACATGTAAGAGCTTATGCCACCATAGATGAAGATATGGTATATTTCCTGTAAGGACGAACGAATCGCTGCCAAGCTTACCCAGGCAACCCGTATGTGGTACAAAGAAATGCATAAATACCTACGAAGCAGGTCAGCGAGGTCTAGAATTTTAGGCAATAGTTATTGCGTGACATAGTCGAGTCGATGCATGTGCGGCGTTTCTTCGCCAAAGACGATTCTCAATTGCTGCTACGCAGAAATTGTGACGTCGGCGCTCTCGTACTTCATGTCTTATGACCCTGAGAGAGACTTTTGATCAGCGGGCCATTCCATCTACCACATTATGGGATGAAGATTCTGATCATCTCCATCTCAGCTGGCTCGATGGCTGATCAAACTCTACACCAATCACCTACAACGCCAAAGTGTCGTGGCCGCGTGGAAGGAAAAGAGACATGAGGTTGTCTCACAGATCGCTCTTCGAAAGGGGATAAGACAAGATCCAAGTCCTGTTCGCGACTATAACCAACACTGAAGCGCGATTGATCAATTAAGACGCTATCAAAAGACACCGTCATGAAGCCTGCTGGCTATGCAGGTGTGCAAGGTATGGGTATACTGGGATACAAGATTCCACCTTTCGATGGCGGCTAACATAATTCATAACATAGGTAGGTGGATCTCTGCCTGAAGGATTGTTTTTCGCAGAGATCAAGCATCAGGGTCCATTGTATAGCTCCAGCACAAGAAATCGTACAGCCGCGTTGCCTGGTTGGAAACCGGTGCCAGAATGGCGGTCTAACTGCACGTGGCAGGTGATTCAGAGTTCCAGAGCGTCATGAGGTGATTAAAGAGGCCAACTGCCTTCATAGTAACGCCCCTCACTATGCAACAGAAGACCCTGCCAAAATCTACCAATGAGAGTGCGAGGATAGCACATGTCTTGACCTAGTGTGACATTAGCTGTTTTCGGCCCGCCGGGTATTTCGATCCACGGAGAGGGACGTTAGTAGGCAGCCTTAGGTGAATGAGAATGACAAATATGACTATACATAGTATGTGCAAGTGGACTGATAGGCCGAGCGGGAGTAGGATTGTATGGATCATGGTGGGGGCCAGGCCGCATACCCACACCGGAAAGGGATTACCCGCCCGATCAAGCTGCCCCGGTCGTTCGTGGTTGGAAAGAACAAATTTATCAGGCGTCCAGGTAAGATTAAGATGACGCTGAATAGAATGGCTGTAAGATTGTGGTGGAGCGCTGCAGAAGATGACACGTCGTAAAAACCTGCTCTACGACCGAACGTTAGCAGGGGGCCTTGTCGGTTGCCGTGGTTCTTCGGCAAGTGGATTGAGCTGAATCCACTTTTACATAAGCTTAATGTGACTTTAGCCCCACCTTCTCTACTCCATGTCTAAAATCGTATTATAGCCGGCCAATAAGCTAGGTGGGTGGCGTACATAGGTCTCAGCCAATAAACGCATGGCTCGATTGTGGCTAGGAAAATTCGCTATGTTAGCTGCGGATGCGGGAACCTTGCGTTAAGCTAGGCTACCTAGTGTTAGGCCAACCTAGAAGTGGGTTACCCTACTAAGATCGTAAGATATTTTTTAAGTTGCGATTGTAATAAAACAACAATTACATTTACTACTCTAAGTACATAGAATAAAACGTATAATTACTAGGTAGTAGAGTTACTTTGTTAACTACTATACTACGCTTTTTAAGTAGCAAGGTAGTTGCTAAAGCTACTACAGCGTCTATTACGAGTCTAATTACTTCAACGTTTATAAACCTCTAATTCAGTTTAAGTAGGACTTATTATTTTAGCTCTTATATTATAACGTTATAATTATCTATATTAATAATATTGTAGTAATGCTATATAGCTTCGAAAGATATCTTACGATCTTAGTAGGGTAGTCTACCTCTAGGTTGGCCTAACACTAGGTAGCCCAGCTTACACGCTGGCGGCGGGCACGCCCGAAGGAACTATTCTGCTGGAAAGCCACCGCGGGATCTAGGTACGTCCAGCCACAGTCTCAGCACGCCCTCTAGCTACCCGCGGAATGTCATCCCTACCTACGCTTTGGGCTTCAATCCTCCTTTTTGCAGTGGTTCGAGAATCAGCTAGGCGCAAGCATGGTCTAAGGCTCAGCCAAACAACATACGCTCCGCAGCCAAGGGCTTTCGCTGTTTATGGGATTTGAAAAAGCTAAATTGCCTCTGTTTGACCTAGGTATTAGACTTGAAGGGCATTTCGCGGCCGCACAAAATCAGGTTTTCTTTCCGCCTAAACTAAGCTCCCACCTCTAGCGCGCTCCGAGCCGATCAGGCCGCTGCTTGCCTTATATTTAAAGCCCATCTGCACTGGTAGGTGTAAAATCGGACGAGTACAATAAACCCGGAGCCACGCAGTAGCATGAAATACCTGGTTCGATCGCTTCGCCTCACACGGCTGGCTGTCGGATAGTCTGGTTCTGCAGCCAATGGGACACACGCCATGGGTTCGGGAATAGATGTATGCGCTTACCCTGTACAACCACATTCTCAAGAGGGCTCAAAAGCGAAAGAGGCTGACGATTACTACGCTCACGCAAATCAATTCCATAGCTAGCAATTGTTCTTTCGAATACTATAGATTTCCTCTCACTCTATCCTTTTTATTCTCAATTAAACCTTCTTTGAGGCCACGCGCCAGGAGTATGTTGTTCGTTGTTTGATGCTAATGTACATACTTAATACATCCGTCCATTTGACAGAGCACTAGTGAAAACCAGGCCATCTGTCTTTTACCGACAAGTAAGCTAGGAGCTCGAAGCATACTGTCCTAATAACAATCGTTCTACCTGTAACGCAACGACACGAACACAAAGATCGACATTGGTTCGCTGAGATTCGTTCCAGAGCGCATGGAGCTGGTAAGTTTTGAAATTTATCCGCTTGCTGGAGCAAATCAGCTAATTGTAATCTGTAGCCAGAGTATGCTGTCCCGGCTTCTTTACTGTCACCGCAGCCGGGACCTCCCTCACGCGAAATCCACACTTCAAGTGAACCGTTGAACAAGTTTGACGAACCCGATGTTCATGACAGACCACGGGGCAAAAGAAAGAGAACACATGGCGTATCCCCTTCGCTGAAGTCCAACTCAGGACGCGTCGGACTCGTATGTCTTTGCAGCTCTCACATCTGTCAATAGAGGCTAATCAAATCTATCTTGCAGCCTCAGTACTCAGTCCCAGAAGCTTTACACCCATTGCCACCCACATTTCCCTCGCGCGGCGATGTCGCCAATCAAGCGCCACAGAATGGAACCATGGAACCGAACCGTTACGAGAACCCTGCCGCGATTCCACATCCAGGGCATAGCATACCCGTGCACACAAGATCAGAATCGGAGCATTTCGCTACTGGTGCTCATGGCGAGGCGCAGAATCACCCTCGTCTCCCACCTTCGACGAATACCAAACAATCCGAGGAGCTGTTGCACACTATGAGGCCGACAAATCGATCGTCAGACGATAGATCAGACTTGGCATTCCAGACAGCAGCCAACGATCTCGGCATGAAGAATGACGGCTTCTTGGGTGAGTGGATGGCGATCGACCATAGAGATGTCCCTTCTGATGGATTAGGAATATCACACGACATGTTCTTCCCAACCCCAGTCATGACAGAGGTATGGGGGGAAGAGTCTACTCCAAATCTATCGTGGGATTCAGGTCAGGAGCTGCCAAATTTTCTATCGGATAGACCTATGGTTCAGGTTGAGCCATGTGAAGCAGTAGATGGAGCCGCGCCTGCGGGTGGAAGGCGCGAACTCGCCTTGGAGAAGAGAATGCCAGAAACGCATAATGACGTCGACACGGCAATGCCCCTCCCAAAGACAACCTCTCAGCTCAAGCCATCCGCTCTGACTGGAGAACGTCTAGTGCATATTCTCAAGGCTGTTGCTGCAGCTGGCTTTGACAGTCTGGACGACGCCGTTCTTGCCTACTATACGGAAAATCTGAAGGACGAGGATCAGCTTCGGCAACAGCAGAGACTGAGTCGCATTCGACGGTTGCCTGTGCTCTTAAAGGAACTCCATCTCGCAGCGCAAGACTGGGGTCCATGGCAGCGGAGAGGGTTTCATGAGCAAATAATCAAAAGTACGGAAGATATCATCGTTACAGAGCTTCAAGAACATCTTTCCACAGGCCGATCCGGTCATTGCAAGTCGAATTGCAGCACTGAGCAGCGATGTCAACCCTGCAAGCAAATGGCGATGGATGAAACAGATATTGAGGCTGAGGTTAGTTCAAGCAGCGATGCCATTCACCATAACATTTCTCCGCGAAATCTAACGATATACGTAGATTCCCAACACATGGACCTTGCTGACCTCACTCTCTTCCAAATTTGATGCTATCAGTTCAAAGAATGGGAAGGCTGATGTGCCCAAGTTGGTGAGAAGGTTCCTGGCAACTGGAACTGATCCACATGCTTAAGATATAGAACGACAGGAATTGGGGACTCCACACGTAGTAAAAATCACACACATACTAAAACCAGGAGCTTCGTTCATGGCAGTCAAATCAAGTGGGTGGTTGTTGCGATCGACCCGCGCAATACCCAAAACACCATTTCGCTTCCTGAAGGACTTCGAGCATTTTCGGACCAGCTTTCTCTACGCGTTTACTCGCAGAATTACCATGCTAGAAATATCTCTCATGATGATATGAATGGGCCAATCGATATACGTGCCTGATTAGATCATAAGATCTTTTAACCTTGATCACACCGACAGCGATGCGGACACTCGCAATATCTCCTTCCTCGTTCCACCAATTGCTTCTCCCGCTCCAAGCCACTCTTCTGATACAGCTGAAGCTGCTGCTGATTCTTTGCAGGGAGATTGACCATATGTGCAGTCAATGTTCGAGTAACGAGTGCAAGAAATAGTCAAGGTGTGCAAAGCTATCACTATATGGAAATGAACGAGAAGTAGGAGGTTGGTGGGGCGAAACGTGAACATTCCGAGGTTCGAGTATGGCTTCGACGATGAAACGAAGTTCTATTATGCAGGATAAGGTGTTGGAATCTAGAGAGAATGTCTCATACACAGACAGAGTTTATATAAAAGCCGAAGAGCCTCTACACACTTACCGCATGTCGTTTGAATAGCAAGTTGTTCATACTTCGTACGACGGTTCACATTGGATTGATGGTTGCTTTTCGTCACGATGAAAACCTCTAGAAACTCTACACGGGCTCCTGCCCTTGCAGCAACAGCCCTCCAAGAATTGCTCGCGGATGCTACTCGCATCCAAGTCGGCATGCACGTCACTGTATTCGCATCATGTCGACTGGCGCAGTCACGCCCAGCAGCGGGCCAAGAGCTGCCAATTTCTCACCAACTGCTTACAATAGCGAATTCATATCCGAGAAGCTCTCGTGCATCGTGTACGCGACTGTGACCTACAACTTCTGACCATGCAGCTTTGGCCACGCCGCCAGCCAGCTGGGGTTGATAGAGCTCGGCTCGAATATATATAGCACTGGCTGAGATAATCCCAATAGGGGCAGTGGGCCCAAGAGGGTAACATGCAAGGCATTCGCCGCATGGAGGTGGGGGTCTTGGCCGGTGGCCATGTTAGCGAGGTCACCGCTCCGATGATGTCCTAAAACAGCGATGCGATCGATTGGGAACTGTCGGGGCTCGTGCTGGGAAGGCAATTTGGCAATGGCGGTTGCGCTGCTCAGCTGATCAACGATAAATGATGTCCCCCGGCACGGGCTTACCCGTCCCGGGTAAACTCCTCCAGAGTAAGCTTACTCAGGGCATTTCCATGCACTTTGCTGATGTGAGGATGAGTAATAATATCATTGTCTTGGGGGTGATCAACCATATTGACTATGAAGCACTCGCGGGCGAGCGATGGAGGTCTGGACTGGTTTTGTTGTCTGGAAGCGGTGTTTGATAGCCCGTGTCTCCTATCAGACGCAAAGTCCCTGCCCATACGTCGTCGAGTTATCGCTGGGGGGCTGTCGATTGCCTCATTGTTGTCGTCCTCGAGGCGTTCCCCAACTTTCCCGCAGCCATTTTGTCAAGTGTAATCGTCAGGCACTTCTTTAGCAACTCCATTGCCGTGTGATTGTGAGCATAAGAAGATAAGAGGAAAGGCGCTATAGAGTCGTGACATATTCAAGAGAACAAAGTGTCATCGCTGTCGAAAGATGCCTTGGAGGAAGAGCCGTTTTTTCTTCATTCCACTCCTTATCTATCATACATACTGCTTTGGCTCAGTCGTGAGTCATTTCACGGTAAACCTCCGCTATGAGACTGCTCTCCACATCTTTAGTGGTTACGGCTCTCTTACTTTATCGCGCGTTCGAGCGCAGTGTGATCATTTATGTTAAGCTTTTTAGTGCTGTCTTGTGTTTGGATGATCCGCTCCACTTTGCGGCGTGGCTAATGACCCCTCTCTACCCGCTTTCCCCGCAACAACGCCTCCCTCAAGATAACACGCACAAACAACAACCTCGCGCGACAACGCAAACCACGCCCTTACCACGCACCCCATCAGAAAATTCACGCCTGCAATACGACCCTCGAAATCGCCCGACACGCGCGCTATCCTCGTCGCTGCGAGAGCCATTACGTCAGCAAGATTCGCAGCGCGGTTGCGTCACTGCCCCTAGCCTGGAGCTCGAGAGTCTGGCTGCTACCGGGCGACGCAGCTGCCCACTTTCTTCATTCGCGCATCTCTCCGCACGCCTTCGACTGCGCGCCGTCGATTGTGCGCCATAAGCTCTGCGTCACTGCCCCCAACCCCGAGCCTGAAAAGGCCTGGTCAATCGGGCGACACAGCCGCCTCCGCACGCCTCTTGCCTCCCTGCCTGCCCTCCCTTCCTCTCCTACGCGTCTCCACATATGGCGCCGTTATGGCGCACGGTATATCGAACCCATATGCGACGAAGCAGGCCCTGCATCTCGTAGAATCCGAATTCGGCTCTAGACAAGGTCCGCGTCTGAGAAAGGCCGATCCATCAGCCGCACAAGAGAAGCCGATGGCCATGATCCCCCGCAACGGCAGCGTTACACATACCGCAATACCAAAACCAAACTTCGTTGAGGGCCGTGGCATTCCTGGGTATGCCGCCGTCCGCTTCACAGACTGCGCGTCACAGGAAGAAGCGGGTCGCCTGCTGGGACAGGTGCAGGCACTCAAACGCATAAGCTTATGCGTCGTCCATCATTGTCCGAGCACATGCTGATGTTCACAGGCCAAAACGCACTCCTCAAGGGCTGCCGCGCACGGCGATACGTTCCTCCAAGCGCAAATCGGGCTTTGGCGCAAATACAGCAAGGTGTCTTTTGTGTCCGTGGGATGTAAGCAGAAAAAGCCCTGGCTTGACCAAGGCATTCGCATTCTTATACGCACCGTCGATCGAAGCCTCGCGAAGGCCGCTGCATATCTTCGCAAGGTCGACGAGCCGGCCTATAATCGCATGCGCTGCAGTCATAGGGATATATCTAAACTTGCTGTTTCCGGCGTCGACCAGCTTCGTGCCGCTGAGGCTCATAAGACATAGTCCGCCAAGGACTTTAATCGCCTGCTGCGGTGCACGGACAGAGATAGCGCCCAAGGCTTTAACTATACTGTGCTATCAGGCATTAGTTTTGTATGTGGGCGGCTAGCAGAGGGCTGCAAAAGTGGAGTATGGGTCAGATGACCCCCTCACAAATCGAATTATATAAGCTCTTCTGATTGGTACGAAGCTGTCTGAGATCCGTGCGAGGTAGCGTTCCCACATACAAAAGTTATGCCTGATACCACAGTAGTACATGTCAGACTCCCCCGCAACGGCAGACGGCCTAATTCGCCGCCGCTTGCGACCATCGCAGATTGGCACCCGCAAGCTTACATCTAGCCCGCACCATAGTCCCAAGGTCGAATATACGCTAAAGCCATTGCAGGCTAATGTAGAAGCCCGTGTACCTAGTGTCAGAGCACGCATACTGCTATGTAGAGGTAGGAAATGTAGACCAGTTGCTGTAACACGGGATGACAGAGGCTAAACGAGGAGGGCGATTATAGTCCTAACATGTTTACTTTTTTCGCCCGCGCCTTAGCCTCTAAACCTGCTTATAACCTGCGCTCCGCGCGTTAGGAGATAGACAAGAATTATTCTCACGACCTCCCTACCTAGTGTAGTAATATAAAGCTTTCCCCTACTATTCTCTTGTAGTGTAAAGCAAATACTATTGCCTATAACTACCCCTCACAGTTGCTTTAGTGTGTAGCAGCTAGCTAGATCATAATAGAGTCTAGATACTCACCATCACCGCTAATGCACTCGATCACGGTAACTATTATGCATTTAACATGCGCGCCTTTATAGTTTCGCACAGCATTCTTACCTGCTAAGAATTTTACCATACCTAGCATAGACAGCATAACCACTAGTCTTATCCATGTTGTATAAATTCTTTTTTGGAGATAGCCGGTCTTTAAGCAGCCTCCCAATCACTTTTGAAAGCAATGTAACGTCTCCCACGATGTGCTTTTCTCGTGAGGATTCCAGCGCCTTGACTCTACTACAATCTGTGCGAGCCATGGTATGATTCGGACAGTGCTAGGAGGAGACGATTGTTGTGCTAGAACACGGCTGGCCTTGTCCTATCGTGGCGGACTTCTTAGCGATTGAGTTGTGAATTTCTGGAGTGATTCTAAGCAAGGCCATGTTCGGCGTTCAGAGGGCAAGAAAGAAGAAGGACCGTCAGTGTGCGCAAGTGGCGCTGTATCTGTGAGTGCAAGGATTCCGTAATCTATCCAATTCTTCCTTACATCATTTGGGATGAAAGGGATAAGGGGGGAAATAGGAAAGAAAGAAAGCAAGAAAGAAAACAAAGCAATTGGAGCAGCACTTGCCGGGAAGCACTACCTAGTAATGGAACATGCGAAAGCACTTCCATGTAACCGACAATGATGTCGTTGCGACTGCAACGGTTTCTGCTTGAGTCTCTCTGAGCCGGCACAGGAAATAATCTGCAAAGATGTGATAGCAGAAAGCGAGACCTAGTATTGGGACGATGTTGTGCTTCGATCATGTGCTGTGTACTCATCTGGACTAATCCAAAAGTATGTGATAGTTGAGCTTGCCTGCAGTAGATGTGCGAGCAGGTATACGTATGGACACGGGCAGTGGACAGGGAACTCTGGGGATGCCAAGTGAGCCCTTCAATTGCATGCTAACTAGTGACGTACATATCACGGCGCCACCCTTCTCGTGCCATTGGCAATGGAATGGCGGGATCAGTAAGGATTGGCGCGTCCTATTGGGCAGGAAACAGGAAATCGCGACCTTCGTTCTGAAACTGCCTTTTTTGAGAAACCCCTTTTCCAAATCTATGTAAACATGATCCTGCAAGTGAGGTATTGACTCCTCAGTTATACATGGCTTACTTCCTTCATCCATCCTGTACTTGATTTATAACAGATACCTGTAGCATACAGCGTTACCAAAGCATTCTCGCCCAAAAGTCCGCGACGGTCTACATCGCCTATGACGCGGGTCCCAATGTATAGAAATGCCGCCACGGGTGATCAAACGTGTGCAGTCTGGCTGGTGGTATGATGGACTGGGTGGCGCTTCCTGTTGTTGAAGAGCGAGATGGTCATGGCAGTGGTAAACATGAAGAGCAGCCACGTGAGGGCGGCAAAGGCGGTGCCGGCCTTGATTGCGCTGCAAGAACCATGGTCTGCCGAACAAGCGCTGGTGCCAATGTTGGCCGCCGCGGCAATCCAGCCAGCAAACCACGAAAGGACAGCCACAATCTCGACGCCGACGCGAATGTAGCCTATCAGCGGGTGTTCGCCAAAGGTGCCTCCGGAAACGAGCTGGAATATGACGACCAAGATAGTCCACGCTGCGCAGAAGAGTAAAAAGCCCCAGGAATTAGGCGCGCCGACGGTGACGTCGAAGTCACCGGTAGGGGTGTGGGCGACGGAGTCGTGAACGTGATACCCGTTAATGGCTACGAGGTGGAGTCAGAATCAAGCGAGGGCAATAGCGTGGGGGGAACAAGTTCCGTACCATAGCCAACTGTTCCTATCACAACAATAGCGAGCACGATCTGCAGCGCTCGCACCACAAGGTTCAACGGCCTGTTGTCTGCCGAGAATATGGCCATGGTGTCTAGCGATCTGTGATGAAATTTGATTGAGGGGCAGGGACCGAGCACGACGAGTGGTAATGAAAGAAGAGAGGAACGCGGAGTGAAGTTAAGTAAGTAGGCACCGTAGGGCAGTTGCGCGTTGACTGAATAAAGGTCGGTGGTTGTAATATCACCAAGATTTGCGCGATAATTCGGTGGTGGGTAAATACTCTGTACTCTGTACGGAGGTAGTAACTATATAGTGGCGTTGCCCAAGGTAAGGGCTGGAGTGGGGCACCCTCTGTTCTTACCCAGCCCGGGCGGGTGCCCACCGATCGCTGTGTATTGATTAATCGTCTCCCCTACAAACGCGCGCTTTTACATTCTCGCTACTTAAGCCCGACCGGGTGAAGCTTGCGAGGCCTGAAACTGTCACATTACAAAGGGCACCTTACTCAACTTTGCACTTCGTAACACTAACCTTGCTGTCTACTGTCTCATTGGCAGAAACGTCCTCGATTTTGGGGTAAACGGCAGGCGGAAACCTAGATGTTTCACACACCAGAACCGCCAAGGGACGCTAGAGAGGGGAAAGTGAATAGAGTGCAGGATGCTCGATGAGAGCCACCAGGAAAGAAAGCAGTAACCACGCTGTATCCTTTGTAGAGTTCGATATGATTATGTATACTACAATCAGGGTACGTCTGCAACAGCGCCAGGCTGAATGACGTTTCATATCTGTCACACTCCTACATCGCTACTCTCTTTCGTGGCTCATAAATCTCTAAGCCATTGACTGTAAATTCGGTATTATTGTGTGAATGTCGCACCTGGCCTGGCTTCCGCTGTGGAGGCAACAGCAGCGTTCGTCTCAAGATATACTGTACAGGTGTGTTAATTTCTTTTGGCGTTTGTCTTCTTTTTCGCACCGGATTGCAACTTACTATTAGGTTTGACAAACCAGCTAATGACGAAGCCCACTACAAAGACGAGAGCTAAACAGACAAAGACCGCCTGCGTAAAGTTGCCCACAGTCGCCGCGAAAATGGAGTTGAAGATGACGGGTGCAATTGTCTGTGTCAAAGCATGAAGAAGTCCGTTGGCACCCAGCAGCTGCCCCGTCTGGTCCGATGGCACATGCTTGGTAAGCGCCGACTGCAACGCAGGTGAAGAAATACTGCCTGCAGCGCCGAGGACGCCGAAGAGGGTGAAAAGGTCTCCTCGTCGTGTCAGACTATATCCGACCCACCCCAAAGTTTCGAATAAGATGCCAATCTGCATGATTCTCAGGTCGAAGACGTCAACACCTTTGCTGGATACAGCGGCGCAGTCGCTCCCCCGGTCGCGTACAAGGTAGGTTATAGCAGGTAGAATAACAAGCAGAAAGGCCACCCGCGTACTGTTCACAATAGTCATGTATCGACCCGATTCAAATGTTTCCCAACCAAATTGGTAGTTGACATATATCAGCAAGACATTAAGACTTCCCATGGCAACCCCGAACATGATAGTGTCCATGGCAGCCAATACTAAAAGGTTTCGCCGTAGAGCGGGTGTACTGTCGGGTCCGGTGAGATAAAGGATCTTGAGTGGTTCCAATAGATTGAGCTGGCGAAGTCTCTGTATCCAAGGCCCCCTTTGGTGACGAGCCGTCTTTTCTCTAGCTGCCTTGTCGCGTGCCTGTTCTCGACGACGTTTTGAAATGGACTCGGGAACGCAGAATAGAACGAACAGAATGCAACAGCCATGGGAAACCAACATTATCCAGAAAACGGCCAAAATGCTGCCCGTCCATTCCACCACGTAGCCCGCCAGAATGGGTCCAATGGATAAGCCTATGAATGTGCAGCCGTGCAGATAGCCGAAAGCCATACTGCGACGGTGGGCGGAGACGCAGTCGGCGGCATAAGTGTTCACCATGGCCATGGCCAAGATCGAAGAGCCCGTAACACCCTCGAGGGCAAACGAGAGAAGTATCCAGTCGACATGTATGGTGTCTTGGTAAGAAGCAGCCAAGATGATAAGGACTTCGCCGCACAGAGCTCCCAGGCTGCACAGGACAAAAATGGGTTTGCGGCCGTATAGATCTGACAATGAGCCTAGACGAGGGCTGACTAGGGCGGAGAGAATGCCACTGAGCAAAGTACCCAGAAGCAAGAAGATAGAGACTCTTTGGGAGACTTCAGGGGTGCGGCATTGATCATCAGATCCGTCGTTCAAGACGGTCGGAGGATTTTCGATATAGTATTGTCGACAGATTAGATCGATGATTAGGTTGATCTTAGGGGTGATGATGCCGCCAAAGATCAGGGCCATGATGAGGTAGGGAACAAGGACCCACTCGATGGTAGGTCGTTGGTACCAGGGGAGATGCGCAAAGTCTCGAACATACCTGTCACGATCATTTCCATCTTCGTACAGAGCAGGAGGGTGACCGAGAAGGGGCTCTTGCTCGTGGTCGTAGCTTTGAATGGGTTGTAGAACTCTGGCGGCGTTCTCCTGCCCTGCAGCTGCACGCTCAAGCTCATCAAGTTCATCAAATTCTTCCATCACGATGACAGTGAAGGATGCGACGCTTGGTGGGCGTGCGTCGGAGCCGAAGAAGTTGATAGAATTGAGAGCTGGGACGGGATGGGATGGGCTTGCATTGCTCACGGCTTGATCACCAATGGCCAGCGCTCAGGTAGAGAAGGAGTCGCAAACAAGCGGTTTCAGGAGAGCAGTCACGTGGCAGTCTCTTCAGTGCATAGCACCACTAGGCAATTAATGCAAAGCTACACTTGCGAGTGCACTTGGCGGCGTATGGGCACATCTCCGTGCGTTCCTTTGTGAGTAAGGAGGAACCGGCAGTCTTGCTCCTGCCCGTGCACACACACAGCCCACCTAGGAAAGCGGGGTTCATTCAGCTCGGACTGATCAGCCTAGGCTGCAATTGGTTATATATATCAGAGGCAGAGAGTTGGGGGCAAAATCATGCGCCTCATGCAGCGGAGATTAGCCTGTGTAATTCGCAGCTTATGTCATGTCTTGCAATTCGATGGGGTGGAGCCGACCCTGGTAACGGCGCCGGGCCGTGCTCAACCGACCCATAAGTGGGCCGTGCTCAACCCTACATGGGCCTAGGATGCGTTTGTAATGCACTGCTTTTGTCATGCTTCGTTTCCATATTCACACGCTACCGTGGCTGCGCCGCACCAAGCCTGTTCGTCATTCTGCCGCAGTTGAGGCAAACCAAACTGCCAATTACGCGCCCCTGGGACTTCCTGGGTTGTGGCATGCAGCCAGCGGGGTGCAGCTACGCAGTATCCTCGGGCTAGGCCAGAAGTTCAGAACCTCCCAAACCAATTTGGTACGTACTCTCAAATAAAATTGTAGTACAAACCTTAGCATTACACTATACATGGTAGTACCGGTTTTCTGCCGTGGTTTTGAGGTGCGCGCACACTGTGCGCAGGTTCGCTGTAGCGCCCGCGGCCAACTTGTCCATCACTGACTCTTCCATGATTCGGCGGGTTGCCAGCAGAGCATCCACCTCAATTGGGTGTAGATGAAAGCTGAGCCACCAAGTCACTGCTGTTGTTTCCTCTCGCTCGTTCGCTGTTGTCTCACATCTGCGAGGTTGTGGACAGGTGTTGTGCACATGACTACCACCTTCTTTCCCTACTCACGGGCTTGAGTAATTACATAGGTCACGTCACTAAGACTCGATCCCTTCAAATGAACATCGCATCAGAGATCATGTCGTTGAAGGCCCCGCGTACTGACCAGTCTCCTGCAAACTCAGCTTTAAGACCCTCTGCAATTCTTCGTCGTCCTCATCGTCTCTCTCTGTGGCACGGCCTTTGCCTTTGTTTTGATGGTCCGCTTCCAAGAGACTTTGCTTTTTGATGTACTCCATCACAATCTCTTCTTCTGTCTTCTCCTGCGCTGTCTTCTCCCCCTGATTTCCCTTTTGCTCTGCCACAAACTCGTTTTGCGTGGTGCCCGCGAGATGCCCTGGATCATACACAGGAGGTCGCTCGTGACGAAGTGATTGATCAGCGACGGCTGCTGCCCTCTCTGACCTCGTTTCAGACTCGTTTCTTTCACTCTCCAAGTTCGTGTTATCGTGATGCACATCCGAGTCCCATGTACCACCACTTGCGCGTCGCTGCGCTTCTGCTTCGCTGGCCAATATCGTCTGACGCACGTTGACTTGACCTGCCTGGTGATCTTGCCCGTGGCTCTGGAGCTCCGACACGTCTTCCTGCATCGTCTGCCTCAAGTTGACATCCATTGCTGTTTTGGCAACGCGTGGAGAAGAGTGTGAACCACCAATGGCGGGTGAGGTACTGCCGAGCTCCACGAACTGGTCCTCTGGACTGAGAATTGCACTGTCGACAGACTGAACGGGTCTCATAGCGTGCATGCCATTTTGTCCGTATTCTTCGTCGTCCTCCAAATTCGTTGTTTGTTGTAATTCCTGGGCATCGGGCATAATCTCATTGGACCTGACCTTTTCCTTCAAATCTTTCTGAATCGACTTCCACCCATTGATGACGGCTTGCTTTTCTGCATCTGAGCTCTGCAGCCACTCTTCATACCCTTGCGTTGCTCTCGATGTGGCAATGTAATCCTGGAAGTTGTTGCCGAATAACTTCGCCACCTCCTTGTTGACTCCCTGCATCGTATGACTTAGAATACCAAGGACGGCCGCGCCAGGTTTCACTATAAAACCTCCAATCCCTTTGCCAACTCCTTTCACGAAGCCGCTAGCGCCCTTTTGCTGTGCGCCTTTCCATGGTTGGGTGACTAGGCCAGTTATGCCATCGTAGAAGCCGAAACCAAACTCTCTTCCTACCGCCTTGACGCCTGATCTGAAATCGCTGACCCTTTCCTGTGGGCGCACGGTAGTGTCTCCCCAAAGTTTCGGAATATTGTGCATTCCTCTCGTGAGATTCACCGAAATGTCCACAGGTCCCTGAGCAACCGCTCTGGCGAAACGGCCGGCGCCCTTGGTCATGTGCACGCCAGTCGGGCGCAGCATGTCCTGGTTGTGTCTGAGGCCAGATTCATTCCCACTGCGGAGTCGACCCAGGCCAGGGTCGTCTTGTTTGGGATTCGGTGGGCCTTGTGATGGACCGGACACCGAGTTTGAATCGGCATTCGAAGTGGGAGTTGACCGGCCGGAGATGGCGTCAGAGGTTTCAACAGGAGCAACAGAGGCAACAGAGTCTTTCGTGATCGACCTTGTTTCACTTTGTCCATGCGAAGTCGAAATAATGGAAGCCTCTCGTGTATTTGCAGCCCTGCTTGTGCTCGCGATGGTTGGCAATGATGCTTGGGACTGCTGCCGGCTCCGTGTAGCCGGCATTCGCATAGCTCTCCAAGTCTCCGAAGGAACGTCAGCTAGTCCCATCATCATACCGCCAACTGAACCTATAAAAGCTGTAAAGCCACCGGATATAGGATCCAAAGGACCCTCGTCGATGTAATGTTCCTGTGGTCTGAAAAGCTTCAAGTCCTTATATTCCAAAAGGTTTGCATTCACTAAAGTATAAGCAGCGAAAGCGCTCAGCCTAACCTTAGTACGCTTGATACGCCACGCACTGGGCCTAGCTGGTGCGATTGTGCAACGAAGTCGGTCAGGTTCAAGAAACTGATGGATTGACTGAGCAGCCAGGTTGTTGCCTTGCTCTGCCGCGATCTTACTTGCGAGTTCTTGAGCGCGTTCCAGGCTTTCAGGTTTCAGACAGAAGTTGATAGCATCGGCTAGTTTGTCGACCGTGAGTTGTTTGTGGGGGATCGGCTTCGGACCTGCACCTGCTCGCGCGACCATGGCACCCCAGAATGGCTGATCCCCAAAAAAGGGCACAACTACAGTTGGCCGGCCTGCGATGATGCCTGCCGCCGTAGTCCCCGCGCCACCATGGTGCACGACGCATGAAACATGCCTGAAAAGCCAGTCATGTGGCACGTTGCCCAGCATGAAGATGCTGTTGGGTACATGAAGCTCGTCTGCGCCCATGCCTCCCCAACCTTTAGAAAGGAGGACACGCTGGCCAGTCTTGCTCACGGCCTCGAAAATGAGTTGTGTCATCGCATTAGGGTCGTCCAGGACTATACTCCCAAACCCTATGTAGACAGGGGGTGGACCGTTGTCGAGAAATGCCTGTAAGGCAGCTGGAGGCGTGTAGTCCGAGGCCAAATTCAGAAAGCAGAACCCGGATATAGATATATGAGAACCCCAGTCCTTTGGTTTGGGTATTAGCGCTGGAGACCAGCAATAAGTGTGGGGTATTTTCAGCCGATGAAGCATTGCAGGGCCCCAGACCCTACTTACGGGGTCTAAACCAAGGCACTTCGCGCGAAATCGGTTAATAATATCGCCAAGGACCTGCCACGAGAGAAGTTCGATGACGGCGTAGCTGAAGTAATTAGCTAATTGGGCGTCTTCATTCGAGGATTGGATGTTCGCAAGAGGATGGGGAAATGCATGGGTAGGCGAATAGGGCATGGTGAACATGATATGGAGCGGGATGCCGAGCTTCTCTGCGCAATGAATGTGGGCAAAACTCGGAGGATTGGCAATGATGCAATCGGCAACAAAGTGTCTCGCTGCTGGGCTAGGGCCAGTCTCGTCACTAGGAGACTCATAAAGGTCATCGTCGATTCCGTCTCCAGGTTGGTAACATGATCGCCAGCAGCCTTGAATGTACTCAGCAACATCCTTCCTTCGCCGCCCGACGTCTCCGCTCGCTACACTGCGCATGTCTGGCCTCAGGCCGGGATTTTTGACCATGAAGGCCATTAGTTGGGCTGGGTCGCCGCCAATGCTAAAGAATTCCAGACCTTGGTCTTGGACAAAGTCTCTAAAGGTTGGATGGGTGGCAAGGCGTACACGATGACCGTAGGTTTCTTTCAAGACCTTTCCCAAGGCCACGAAAGGCTGGACGTCTCCGCGCGAGCCCACGACCTGGATAACGACGTTCAAGGGCGGAGGCGGATGAGCGTCTTTTGCGCCTCCTAGGGATGGGTGAATATATGGGGGAGGGGGTAGACTATCTTGGCTTTCCTCCAGTTGTCGCTGCAAAGCAGGGGTGAAGATCTGGGATATACGGCGGTTGAAGTGATTGATGCGGATGTTAACACGGCCATCGTCGGTGGTCCTGGCAGTCGTGCCCGAGCCGTTCGTTTCATCGTGGATCTCGCCGTAGATGTCGCCGTAGGCAGGAGGGGGCACTTTGTCGTCGGCTAGCTCGTCGTCGTCGAAGAGAGCCGGATGCGCGACTTGGTAGGTTGTCGGTCTTGCCGAATCAGTGAGGGTGTCAGTGGTAGCTTGTCCGGGCCGAAGTGTGGGGTGTTGCTCCGGGGGCTCTCGCACGGGCTTCCTCATCTTTCAGGCAGGTGGTTGAGGGCGGGAGGGCAGCTGAGATTAGGCTCGCCGGTGGTGGGCGACGGGGACGGTCTGGTACAAAGGGTCCTTGATTCATGACGCTAATGCCACGGGCGGGAGAGAGGCAGGGACAAGGGAAGCTTTAACAAGGAGCTCCTCGTCACATGTAGCGGAAATAAGGGTTCAACGCCAGCCGCGGGCTTTTAGCGCGGGATCGCGCCTGCTCTGCTCTACGTTGGTGCCTTGGTGCCTACTGGGTGCCTGCGTTCTAGAGCCTGTGTCGCTCGGGCTTCGACCTACGCGGTATACGGCTAGACTACGATAACTGGGCTTGGTAAGATATTTCTGAGTCATCAACAAACTTGGCCCCTGCCGTAATCAAACTGCCCACCCACTCCGTTTGAAATCGCATTGCAGCCGCGGAATGTTACGCGATAACGTGAGAACGAGACGATACAATTGACTTATAGGCATTAGTTATGAACTTGCGGATCATTACGCCGTCTTCACATCTTTATCGGGTGTAGCTGACCAATACTAATCCTTACGAGTCCTAAGACGGGATTCGAAGGATCTAATGCGATTTTCAACATGGATTATTACTGACACGCCCCAGCCCTTTAAATATAGCATGGGGGCTGAACGCTCACGCTCTGGGTGGTACTAGGTGCATCGATGTTCACAGGGTGCGCCGCAACGCCCATCTGGCTGGGAAGCGGACAGCGCATATTTGTCGCAAACATTACTACACTCGTAGATTCTGGCCGATCATTTCTTTGGACGACATCACAACCATCTTCCGGCGCCAATTTACTCCCCTGCATGTGGTTATCAAGTCAGCTCTTCGACGGACCGTTAACCGTCATCTTGGTATGCCTTTGACTCGCTGAACACGCCATGTACGAGGTTTCCAACTTGACCGCATCACGTTGATTGGGCCAGCTCCCGATCCTATCTTGGCCGGAGATGAGCAAACCAATGTCGGTCAAGGTGACGACGTGCTCCAGAAGGCACGAGCATCTACTGGGTCTCGCTGTCTACAGAGCGCGTGGCAGTAGATCGCTACCTCCTATTGCTGCTGCTGCCGTTACGATGGAGAAGCAAGGTGACAGCAAGTTTGCAAAGAATTGGCTCTCAACGAAGATCAAATTTACTTCTTCATCAATTCCGTCTCTTCTCTCTATCAGTCTGGAAATGCACCAAACAGCTTGGCATGTACGACATTCAGCGCACGAGTCGCCTCCTGCTCCTCGACCACGCAACCAATGCTGATCTCACTGGCGCCCTGGCTTATCATCTCAATGTTGATGCCGTGTTCACCCAACGTGTTGAAGAAGCGACCCGAGATGCCCCTCATACCCCGGAGATGGCGCCCGACGAGGGAGATGATGGCCAGGTCGGGCACGAGGTCCACGTCGCCCCAAGCTTTGAGACTGTCGACCGCACGTCGCAGGGCTTCCGATTGAATCTGGAGGTTGTCCTCGCCGTACAGAGCAGCGAGGCGCGTGTTTTCCGAATGAATGGCCATGGAAACATGGACTTCGGACGAGGAGATGAGATCGACCGAAAGGCCGTTTTGGTCGAGGATGGAGAAGATAGAAGCGAGGAAGCCGTGCGCTCTGGTCCGTTTGTTGGAGTGTATGTTAAGCACCGTAATCTGAGGCTTGGCTGTGACTGCCGTCGGTCGTTTTGGCTCGACGCCGAGAAGAGTCGAGGCTGAGCGGTTACGAAACAGTGTCGGTTTTAGTTTGGCCAAGGTGGTATCTGCTGGGTCTGAGTGGATTACAGTGCCAATAGAATGTGGATTCATGACGTTTTTGATACGGATTGGGATATTTGCGCGATTGACTTGATCCATAGTGAAGGGATGAATTACTTCGGAGCCGTAAAAGGTCAACTCGGCCGCTTCGGCTGGGGTGATGGAGTTGAGGAGGCGGGCCTGGGAGACCTTTCGAGGGTCGGCGGTGAAGATCCCATCGACCTCCTTCCAAATTTGCAATTCGAGAGCTTGGAGTCCACCGGCAACGACTGCCGCGCAAAGATCCGTATAGCCTCGACCAACCTGCTCGAGCAGACCGCCTGAAACTTTGCCAAAGAATCCGGTGATGACGGGGACGACGTTGGGGCCAAGGGCCAGGATCTCGATGCGAATGAGGCGAGCGAGCTCCCTATAAAGTTCCTCGTCCGAAGCCATGGCAGTTGAGCTGCGGTCGGTAATGTCACTGAGATCGACGTAGACAGCATTGGCGCCTTTGATCTGCAGGAGGGCTGTCATGAGCAGGCAACTCAACTTTTCCCCTACGCCAATAATCATATCCCTAGTCTGATTTGTGACGGCCCTGAGGAATCGTGCGCTATCTAGAATATTAAGCAAGTTGTGGCATTCCCAATTCACTTGGGCAATATACTGCTTCAGAATTTCTTTGTCCTGTAACGTTTCTTGGCCAGCGGTCACATGGTCCCGATGCAAACCCTCGACGATGTCGACATACTTGCGCGGATCGGCCACGAGAACATTTTCAGCGGCGCGCAAGAGACGGTTAGTGGTGCCATCACTCTTACTTTTGCTATTCCTCGCCGAACAGACAACAGCAACTCGGTGTTGCTTGAGGCCTGGCCTGTTGCGATCAGTCTGTGACGAATCGGATGTGGTCGGACTAACATACAATACAATGTCCTCAGCGATAGTCGCAGCAAATTTGCCAAGACTTGTGCCTCCGAATTTTTGGACAATCCACGTGGTACCGTTAGGAAGTTCCTTTTCATGGCTGTCAGAGAGCGATTGGGGATGGCCATTGACCTCTATGGTATCATGAAGTAGCATGGCGGCCTTGGTTGGGTACTCTTTGCAAACCATTGGGGACTCCATAGCCGCGCTTTTGCTTGCTTCCACTGGGGGACTGTATACGGCGTTGGATGTCATTATCAAGGCGAGGGCACTGGAATACGGGAGCTGAGAGACAACCGCGGCTGTGATAGATTGGGACTAGTGCACGGTTGCTGCAGATGAAAGGCTTCAGGATTTGCCTGTCAGTCGTTTAGTGTTCGAATGACTAAAATGATTCCGGTCATATGATATGTCCCACAAATTGATGTTTTGAGGCACGCATTAATTCTGTAGTAGAGGACCGGCGCCCATGAATGCTCGGAGGTCTAGGCACTCTACGTTCATGAAGTGCGCTTATCTGGTGTAAGACCTTTGTAACGATTATTGGAGCCAAGGTCCAATGTGGAATGCGCTAGGGATAGCCCGCCTTGCTCGTGAATATCCCATGTAAATTTGCCGCTTTGGGAATAGTGGAGGGTCTAATAATGTTATGTGACTTCCAATGCCCTGGCATCTTCTCTTGGCATATTAGTTCTTGTACTCCCAGGCGCTCTCCATCGTCGAATTGAAACAGCCTTGAGCCGCTATCTCGGCAGCGAAAGGCGCACAATCATAGCAGTCACATTGAGATAACTTCGCAAGCGTACTCCTTTCGTCATCTACAGAAAAGATTGTCATCATGATCTTCACACCACCGGCCTTTCTTCCCACCTTGCCTTCTCCTCTCCCGCTTCAAGAAACTATTGGAGACTTTTGTTTGGCAGTAAATCTAGCGCATGCCGCAGGACCTGGGTCGGAGGAAAAACGCCCTCCCTTCGTCGAGGCATCAACTGATCGGGCATGGAGTGCAGATGAGATTGGTGTTCGTGTCGGTCAGGTGGCGGCAGCTTTGGCATCGTTGTGGAAGCTTATCCCTGGGCAACCGTGGCACAAAATCGTTGCCATTGTGGCTTCTAATAGTGTAAGTCTGTTCATATACCAACGTCGAGACATAAGTTTGAGATTGCTCTAGGTTGACACTCTGATTCTTTCATGGGCTGTCCACCGCTTAGGCGGTGGGTGCCTCATGTTGCAACCAACGAGCTCGGCTGATGAAATCGCTGGGCATCTTGCTAACGTACCGCCATGTGCTATCTTTCTATCACAAGATTTGCTTGCCTTGGGTCAAGACGCAATTCGGCGGAGCACTCTGCCCTCAGAGGTACCCATGTACAGGCTTTCAGTTCCTGTCCATACTCCGCAAGGAGCAGCGGTTGAGCCAGACCAGAAAACGGCTAGCATCCCCACTCTGGATGACTTGATCGCAAGTGCTAAAGATCTGCCCGCAATTGACAAGACTAATTTGTCTGCCAACGAAGCGGCTCGACGTGTCGCGTACTTTTGTACCACTAGCGGCACTTCAGGTTTCCAGGTAAAATTCATTGCCCACTATGTATTGTATTCGACTAACCAGACCATTCTTACGACGTGATAGCGGATTGTGGCAATCACACACGAAAACATGATTGCCAGCATCCTACAGGCTACATCTTTCTACAAGGCCACGAGGGAGAGAGGCGCCGAGGTGACTCTGGGCTTTCTGCCATTCAATCATATCTATGGTCTTTTGATCACTCACGCCCTCATGTACTACGGCGACAGCATCATCGTGCATCGGGGGTTCAATCTGATGGAGGTCTTGACTTCTATCATGAAATATCGCATCAACACACTTTATTTGGTCAGTGTGTCAATTGAGCCCATTTTCTCGCCCCTAGTCCTGCTTAGAATGCAAGCTGATGGCACCAGGTGCCACCCATCATCAACGCTCTATCGCGAAACGCATCCATATTGAGTCGCTTCGACTTAAGCTCCGTTCGCGCCATTGTTTCAGGTGGCGGGCCTCTTGATAAAGAAGCTTTCGCGAGAATGCAGGCTGCGCGACCTGATTGGCAACTCCTCAGTGGCTGGGGTAGGCTCTTGAAAGCGTAGTTTGAGCAAAAGCCTAATACTCTACTAGGTCAGACCGAAACCTGCGGTATCGGATCCTTGTCTCATCCTCATGATATATTCCCGGGTTCGAGCGGTATCCTGCTTCCAGGTGTCCGCATCGTACTGAGAGATGATAACGGCCGCGAGATTGAAGGACTAGAGGAGATGGGCGAGATCGAAATTGCCTCTCCTAGCGTCCTACGTGGATATATCGGCCATGCCAGCGAGGCGCTTCTCCCGCCCGCAGGTGACGAAGAATTCTCGTGGCCAACAGGGGATGTCGGTCTCTTCCGCACAGCTCCAAGTGGCGAAACCCATCTATTCATTGTAGACCGGATACGCGACATGATTAAAGTCAAGGTAAGCGAGCTTGCAAATATAAAGTGTGAATCATAGAACCAGGACGATGTTTGTTGACAAAATACTATTTAGGGCAACCAAGTCGCGCCTGGCCAAATTGAGGGCCACTTGGGCCAACACCCTGCTGTGGCCGAGACTGCGGTCGTTGGCGTGCCTGACGAAGTAGCCGGCGAGCGAGCTTTGGCTTTTATAGTCCGGGCGCCTTCATACACTCCGGACGCAAGCGACGCTGAAGTCAAGAAGACGATTCGGGACTACAATGACCTGACGTTGCCCGAGGTGTGCCGTCTACAGGACCGTATCATCTTTGTTGAACAGATCCCGAAAAGTGCAAGTGGCAAGGTGCTCAAGCGAGAATTGAAGAAGCAGCTGTCTACAACTGACCCTCGGCAAAAGGTGTGACAGATGGATGAGGGCTTTTGGGAGCGCTTCGGAGTATGTACATAACTAGTCTTGAGATTTTAACCTTAGATTATACAAGCCGAGCCATCATGAAATGTGTGCGCTCTTCTTCCTCTGCCAGTTATTAGAGTCTATCGTCTTGTAAACCGGTGTCGAAGAGGGAGCAGCTCCCTCACTTAGAAAATTTCCATGATGATAACAGATCACGTGATGCCATTCTTGATTTCTTATCGCAGGAACAATTTGGTGATGTCTGCACTTTTCTAGCCAATTAGATGAGAGATTGATACACGAATCAGCGTGCTGGTTCGAAATGACTCCAGCACGCTATACCAACAAGACATGGGATCCGGACCATGATTTGCAACCAAAGCTGCAATAGTATGCGCATGGTTATAGTGTATGCGATCCTATGCGAGAACCTGGGGTTGGTGGCCGGTAGGCACCTTGTTGGTCTCGCCATAGCCACGCGAGTCAAGCGCGCCAAGCGGGCTAAATCGTGGCGATGAAAAACCGTGCCGTATGCAGGGACTGTTGGAACGTGATGGTTAACGTGGTTCACAAGCGAGCGCCCCACCCAAGCGAGCGCCCCACGAAACACCAGCGCAGCGCACGCGCAGCGACAACACGCAATGTCACAACAACACCAAGCTCTAAGACTCTATACTGAAGGCGACGTACAGCTTGCTGTCTCTGATGTTCAAAGCAGCCAAGTAAAAAGCCTACGACGCGCTGAGGCAATCTGCAACGTTCCCCGAAGGACGATACAGCGGCGCTGCGACGGAAAGCGCCCTCGACGCGATTGCGAGCCAAACTCAAAACGCCTTACTAAGCTAGAAGAGGAGGCAATTGTACAGCGTGTACTTGAAGAGAGTCTACGTGGAATACCGCCCTCGAAGGCGCACGTACAAGATATGGCGGATAGACTGCTAAGGGAGCGTGGTAGGAAGCCTACGGGCAAGAACTAGATTGATAACTTTATCAAGCGTACACCTGAGCTGCGCACGCGATGGAGCCGTCCGTACGATCGCCAGCGAGCTGCCTGCGAGGACCCAGCGATTATCCGGCCTTAGTTCAGCCTAGTTCAATCGATAAAGGCAAAGTATAGTATTGTAGATGAGGATACCTGGAACTTTAATGAGTCTGGCTTCATGATAGGCAAGATATCCTCTCAGCTTGTTGTTACAGGCTCAGAGAAACCTAGGAAACAGAAGAAACTACAGCCTGGTGATCGCGAGTGGGTTACCCTAGTACAAGGCGTCGCTGCGACGGGGCGCGTTATCCCACCCTTCCTCATCTTTGCAGGCAAGGTCCTTATTACCTCTTAGTTCGCAGATCTACCTTGTAATTAGATTATCGCTGTCTCTCCTACTGGCTGGATCAACAACGACCTCGCGCTTGCGTAGCTTAAGCACTTCGATGCCTATACGAAGGCGTCTTCTGCTGGGGCGTACAGGATGCTTATTATCGACGGCTATAAGAGCCACTGCTTAACAGAATTCCAGGACTACTGCAAGGAGAACAAGATTATCGCTCTCTGCATGCCATCTCACTCGTCGCACCTCCTGCAGCCTCTTGACGTTGTCCCCCACTCGCTGTTAAAGCGCTACTACGGCGATAGGATCTCGCTCTTGGCACGCAGCCGCATCCACTATGTTAACAAGGAAACCTTCCTACTAGCCTTTGAAGAAGCTTATAAGAAGACCTTTACACCAGAGAACGTTCGCGCAGGCTTTCAAGGTGCTAGACTAGTCCTATATAACCCAGAGGCTGTGTTATCAAAGCTAGATGTGCAGCTGCGTACGCCGACGCCGCCTGCACCAGGCACTGTCGTCTGGGAGGCGCAAACACCACGCAACGCCCGCGAGATAGAGGCGCAATCTACGCTAATTCGAAATCGCGTGCAAAACTACTGCGGGTTACTAGCAAGCTTATTAGACGAGCAGGTTAAGCAGCTAAGTAAAGGCGCTTAGCAGATAGCTCATAATATAGTGTTAGTGCAGGAAGAAATGGGTCGCCTTCGAGACGCTGTTGACACGCTTACAAAGCGTAAGACTCGCAAAAGGCGGTACGTACGCGTAGAGGAGACTCTAACAGTTGGTGAGGTATCTAACTTAATTGCTGCAAAGGAGGGTAGTAGTCGTAAGGAGGGCGAGACGCCTGCGAAGAGGGTGCGCGCAGAGAGGCGCTGCGGCCGTTGCAGCGAGATTGGACACAACTCCCGCACCTGTAAGGTAGAAATATTAGATGTAGATAATAGCGACGCTTCTAAATAATGCTACATTATTGTGTATAGTATAATAATTTGTTGTAGTGTTGTACTGCGTCGCTACGCGTGCGCTGCGCTGGTGTTTTGTGGGGCGCTCGCTTGGGTGGGGCGCTCGCTTGTGAACCACGTTAATGCTCTGTACTATAATATATGGTATGAGTAGTATGCATTGCAGCGGTATAGAACAAGCGTAAAGGGATCTGATCGTCGCCGGAGCTTCCGGACAGCAGCAACTCGATGTTGCGCCAGCTAATTGCTAATTAAGCAAATCTAGCGAATGAGAGATGTTGGCAAAAGCGCTCACGTTTCCCCTGCCTTTTCCCCTGCAATGTACACTAGTTATGACATGCACATGTACCATTATAATCGCTCCGGCGTAGGTACCCAATACTAACTTATTCCAGGTACATGCCTTTGCACGGGCCACGTCGACCCGTGAATAACGAACTTAACATCGCACCCTCGCTGCAGGGCGCTTTGCCTTTCCTGCTCCTCAATAACTGTAACTGCCCCACCTGACTAAGCCCGCTGTATTACAGTCGTTAACTGTGGTAAGCCACACCTGATACCGCGCGCTAAGGCAGAAGGAACGGCTTCCCATTGCAGACACTTGCAGCTAGCCAACGCACTATGAGTGCGCAGGGCCTGGTCCCTTTCCCCTGGCTCTCCCACTTCAATCAACGGTGATCGCTGTCGAGTATAGAGCCTCACAAAACCTTGCACACGGCTTCTCCAAACCTCCACGATGATGCGTGGGCAATGTGCGCGCGAGGACGAAGATGTTTTCGGCCCCGTGGTCCAAGGCTGCCTGGACAACTTCGATTTCACATTGCTGTTTGAGGAGACGATCCTCTTTGTGGTTCCCGCTTCGTGTCTGATTCTGCTGGCACTGGCATGGCGCATACCAGAGCTCATTCGCGCCGAGGGCGTCGTGCGTGTATCTATCCTAGGCCTCTCCAAGTCTGTAAGTCCTCTTTCGCAACAAGATGCAATCTTGTCAACCCTTACAATCTTTGAATCCCAAACCTTACGGCTCGGTCAAACAGATCATTCACGCTCTTATCTTTATTTCTCAAGTCGTCTTCATTGCCTTGGCCTGCACCAATACCATGGCCAACACGCGGGCAACGATTCCAGTCACCGCCATCGGACTCTTCGCCATTGTCATCATGGGCGCTCTTTCGTACTTGGAACATAGGAGATCTCCTCGCCCTTCATCCCTCCTCACGTTGTATCTCCTTGTCGCTGCACCGACAAATGCCGCTCGTTGCCGCACTCTTTGGAATATGCCAAGTTCGACTGGGGTCCTCACAGCCTTTATCGTTACTACAAGCCTCATGGGAATTGCTCTCGTACTTGAATTGGCACCCAAGGATGCTCTCGTCCGAGAGGAAATACGAAAACCTTCCCCCGAAGAGAAGCGTGGCATAGTAGAGCGTTCGTTTCTTGCTTGGATTGTACCCACTTTTGTCTACGGTTACAAGCACACATTCACGCCTAAAACCTTGCCGCCGGTAGACCCTAGGTTGACTACGTGCGCACTGGACCAAACAGTTGTGAACGGTACGCTGCTCAGCATTGAGACAAGTGAGTGCATCAGCATACTAACTAGACATTGCAGATCTTGATCAAACGTTGTTCGCCAGTCTTCTCAAGCTCCATTGGAGAGATCTACTTAGTCCTGTGTTACCACGCGCTTGTTACCTTGGTTTGACTCTAGCACAACCCTTCCTTGTCGAGACGTCCACGGCGTGGGTCTTAGACGCTCCGGATTCTCAGCACTCCCAGACAAGGACATCGCTGATCGGTGCCTATGTCTTGGTCTACCTTGGCTTGGCTGTAAGTATCTCTCTGCTCTCGATCTAATGGGCTGTTCTTTCTAATCCCGGTTGACAGGTTACATACACTCTTTATCGCCAGAAGACCGTACGAACTGCCACCGCGATGCGAGCCAGTCTTACCGACTATGTGTTCCAACGTCTTTCGCATCTGGACTCTGCCATGGAGCTGGCAGGTTCAGCCACGACCTTGGTGAGTGCGGATATCGAGCGCATTCAGTTTGGAGTTCGTGAACTACACGAGATCTGGGCCAACGTCATTTCGGCCGCGATAGCACTGTTTCTAATCGAGCGCGCCATTGGTGTTGCCATGGTAGCCGCGCTTGGTGTTTCATTTGGTAAGACATGATCCCGTAACTTGCAAAATAGAAGCACTGACATGCTGACCTAATCAGTTAGTATGGCTGCTGTGTTGCTTGTCGCAGTCAGTGGCAGCGAGGCTCAGAAACGCTGGTTCGAAGCTACTGAAGTCCGTGTCGCTCAGGTAGTCAAGATCTTGGCCGAATTCAAGAGTATAAAAATGATGGGTTATACAAAGGGGCTTCTCGACAGTCTTGGTGCAGCGAGGGTTTTCGAAGTGCAGCGTTCTCAAAAATTTCGAGCGTTTTTGATCATGGTAGCTACGTTATCCCAAGCCGCCGTTGCACTCGTCCCAGCCTTTGGATTCGTCACGTTCATATTGTTGCACAGACACGGAGATGCAAAAATATTGGACTCCAGTCGTGCATTCGGGACATTGACGCTCTTCAGCATCCTGAGTTCCAGTGTAGGAATCCTGGTCGAAGCAGTGTTTGAAGTAGTGTCAGCCATTGGTTGCATTTCGCGTATACAAGGTGTGTGCACCAAGCACTACAGGTTGGACCCGCGTCAAATAAACGGTTCGGCAAACTCTTCGCAGTCCATGGTGGTCATGAAAGACGCAAGCGCAAAGTACGAAAGCGAAAGCGATGACATTATTAAGAAAGTCAACATCGACATCAAGCCTGGCTCGATCATCGAAGTCAAGGGCCCAGTGGCATCAGGAAAGTCTACACTCTTGAAAATGGTACTTGGCGAAGTGCGGTACTGCACAGGAGAGGTAGCTGTCGGTGACAACATCATCGGCTATTGTGATCAAAACCCCTGGTTGGACCATGTAAGCATCCGGGATAATATTACAGGACCTGCACCATTCGACCCAGAACGATACGCCGACACCATTCGCATATGTGCCTTGGACCTTGATCTGAAAAACATTCCTGGAGGGGACAGCAGCCTCTGTTTTGGAAATGGAACCACTTTGAGCGGAGGCCAAAAGGCTCGCATTGTTCGTCATCATCTGGACCCATTGGAGTGAAATGACTGCTGACTAATCTGTAGTGTTTGGCTCGTGCTATCTATGCACGTCCGCGAATCCTTGTCCTGGACGATTGTCTAAGTGGATTAGATGCGAATACAGAGCATACCATACTAGAGAATCTCGTCGGCGCGCACGGTTTCCTTCGAAAGCATTCCATCACTACCTTCTTGGTCTCAGCTTCACGTGCGTCCACTCGCCTTGACCGCCAGAGAATTGAACCTGCTAACATGCTCATAGGCAAACCTTTGCCCACCAACATTGCAACACTTTCGCTCGGGCCCGACGGACCCCGGCTGACTGAGAACGAATTGAAGCCATTAGACGTTTCAGTACCAAACAATTCGGAGAGTTATCATTTCATGAATACTTCGGCGCTTAGTGCAGACGAGGCTGCAAAAGAAGAACGACTATTGTTGGAAGAGAAAAGTAGGAGCACTGAGAAATATCAAAGGGGCGGCGAACGAGCTCTCTATGCTATGTTCATCCGAGTCGCTGGAAGACGGGGTCTGATAGGCTTCGTCTTCCTACTCTCCATATTTGTGGTCGGGATTACTTATCCGCGTAAGTCTCCTTTAGGTACAAGACGATGATATAACTTGCTCAGGAGGCTCACACAACCTAACAGAGATTTATATCCAGAGCTGGGTGTTGAAGAGTCCGCAACAACAACGTGACAGCATTGGCACTGTCACGGCCGTCTACTTAGGTTTGAGCTTTTTGGCCTTGTGCGCGTTTTCAGCAGCCTGCACGCATTTCACACTAGGCGTCGCACCACGCATTTCTCTCTCATTTCATGGGTCGTTAGCCAGTGCGCTTCTTTAGTAAGTTGCTATCTTTCTCCTACACCATCTTACTTCCTCCTAACAATACTTTTAGTGCTCCACTTTCTTTTCTCGCTACAACTGACATGGGCTCCATAACCAATAGGTATAGTAGCACACACGCACCAAGTCATAAGCGTCTTTAAGCTAACGCACTCGTTTCCCAGATTCGCTCAAGATCTTGCCGTCATAGATCAAGAGATTCCTTTGGCATTTATCGGTACGATACTCACAGTCTTGCAGCTGCTTGCTCAATCCGTCACTCTCATCATCGGATCGCACCTTTCTGGAATCGCAGTTCCGTTCCTCCTGATTTTGGTATATTGGATCCAGTCCATGTATTTGCCGACGTCTTATCAATTGCGCTTGTTGGATCTTGAGGCCAAGGCCCCCATCGTATCACTGTTTGTTAGGTCTATTGAAGGCCTTGCAACTGTACGGACTTTTGGATGGATGAACCGTACGCAGAAGGAATCAAAACAACACATCATTGCGTCCCAAACGCCGTTCTATCTTCTGGCAACCGTACAGATCATGCTTGGTCTTGTTCTCGATCTCGTGACCGCAGCAATGGCAGTTATTATTATCTCTGTCTCAGTTTACACGCGCGAGCCACGCATTGGTTTAGCGTTGTTCAGCATAGTGGGACTTGGGAGTTCTACCAAGCTCTTAATCACGCAATGGACAGAGCTGGAAACATCTTTCGGTGCTATGAGACGCATTAAGGAGTTCTCTGAAAACACCCCTCGCGAGATTGCGTCGTACAGGAGCTTACGGCCACCCCGAACTTGGCCGGACAAAGGCGAAGTCCAGTTTTCTGATGTTTCGCTTTCATATAGGTGGGTCGTTTTGACACTGCTGAAGACGCGATCAATTGGACATCAGCTGATGCGTATTAAATGGACAGTGACTCTATGCCTCCTGTCATACAGAATTTGACACTCAAGATCGAGCCAGGATGGAAGGTTGGAATCTGTGGGCGCACAGGCAGGTATGGAAATGACCCCCCCTACCACTGCATCTTCTCTTCGAGATACTGACGATAGCTCTCTAGTGGGAAAAGCACACTCGTCGCCTCTATCCTTGGTCTTGTTAATATCCAGAAAGGCACCGTCGTCATAGACGGCATAGATGTCTCATTCCTCGAGTCAGACTCGTTGCGTTCGAGCGTGACAGTGGTTCCACAGAATGGCGTATTACTGCGCGCAACTGTCCGGAAGAATCTGGCTCTAGGTTCTCCAGATCCCCCTACTGACGAAAAGATGATCGAGGTCCTGACAAAGTATGGCCTATACGACAGGTTCAAGGAGCGTGAGGGTCTCGACACTCTTGTTGTTGACGATATTCTTTCCTACGGGGAGCAGCAAATCTTCTTTATCGTTCGAGCACTGCTTCAGAAGACCCGTTTGGTTTTGCTTGATGAACCCACAAGCAGGTAAGTCCTGGTATACTGAGCTATCATGGTTCCGCGTTCAAGAATGACAACTGACCTCGCACTTTTTTTTCTAGGGCCGATAGCAGCACTCAGCAAGTCATAGACTCTGCTGTTCTGAATGGCTTCGAGGGTTCGACGGTGCTCTATATCGCGCATCGTCTCGAGATCCTTGCACAATTTGACTGTGTCATCGTCATGGACCAGGGTCGGATCGCCGAATTTGGCGACCCACGTGAATTATTGCAAAATCCTGACTCACATTTTGCCAGTACATTCAAAAAGGCGCAATCGCAGATAAGCAGCCTCAATGCATCGTGATAGCTGCGTTTATTCAGCAGGCCAAAACAGGCTCGGAGAAATTGTTGCTGCATGTGACGAAAAAGATGGAGTTCAGCGGTATCAACAACGGTTGCGGCTTCCAGCATTGCAATATCGAACAGGCTCCTTCGCTTGCTTCGCACATTTTACTTATAGACTTTGAGCGTTGTGCATTCTTTTAGTAATTCCATCAGAACTGATAGATATCACGGTGACCAGTATCGTGAACAGAGCAGCCAATTTCCCATGCAAATTGTCGTAGTGGAAAAATGCGTCTAATGAAGACTGAAATCGATCATTGCACACGATAGAGCCACCCACGTGAAGATCACAGGTGAACTCAATATTCGACTGCTTCGGACCGACTCAAGAACAGATACACCGCTGATGCTGATGCTGACGCAGCCCGCATTGGGAGGATGCGCTAGAATGGCGCATCGTAAACTTAGAGCAACTTACTCGTAGTCCTTCAATCCATATGACCAAGGACTCATACGAATAACGTATGGTCGAATAAGCCCAAAATTATGTCGTCAAATTCCTACCACTAGACAAAGGCGAGCAGCCGGAGCGGGAAGTAGGTATGCCATCAACGTCAAATACCATCCCTAGTCTTGAATCTCCTATCATGATCCCAATACCAAACAACATGACTGACACCGAACTTCCTGTTACGACCTCGCAAAGGTACACTAACCCTATCACTTATATTAGGGCCAGGTCGGCTGACCACTCCAGCCGTTACACCCACGCTCAACCTGTGTCTCCTGTATCCCACAAGTGCCGCTCAGACAACTACTCCTTCCTCACATCCTTAGGTACGCGCCAACACAACATAAAGTCGCCTGAGTAAAAGTTTATATTACAACAGAAACGTCGGAACAATTTCGGAAGCTGTAGGCGAAATCTTCTAGGCGCGATGCAAATAACAGGACAAAGGCAGCCAGAGTCAAGCACGAAGACCAGGGTGGCCGTACGCGCAATCCCATGATCCTCTTCGGACATGGCCGTCACTCAGCTGAGAGGTCCAAGACGGAAGTCGACCACCAGGTGCGCAAGTTTCGATGGGGAAGCCTAGATGGTGTAGAGAATAACAATGGCAAATGTGTCGGCCATCACCCCCAGGCTGGCGTTACCGCAACATTGTCTACTTAACGCCATGTTGAAATAGCTGCCACTCTCCACCTGCAGCTTCTCGATTTGTGGAGTATCATCTCGTCAGGCATGGAATTGTTGTGCATTCGTCATCAAAAAGAAATTGCATCCGCATGGGTTCACATGGTTCACTTCAACGCTGGAGCAGCATCATGGAGACGTGTTAGACAGACACCCTTCGCCCGAACACGCGATTCATCCCGGCCATAGCGATTCTAGCGATCTATCGCAAATATTTAAGGCGTAGCGAAGGAAATGAGACATGTAATTCATTCCGCTCTTGACGGCAAAGGTCTCCTGCTCTTCTTTCCCTTCTTAAAACGAAAGATGCGTTTTCTTCTTTCCTGCTTTTTCCATAATAACTAAGTAATCAATGGAAATTCTCACTGGCTGTATGGTCATTCGAAACATTAGATAAAACATACAGTACTCGTCCATGCATCAGCTACGCTATTTCCAATTGTTGTCGGCGGATAACAAATGGTCTGGATTGGCCTGTGAAACTCTCTCTACCTGACTTGAAACGTAGTCATGATCGACAAGAGCCCTTGCCCGTGGCTGTAGCTGTCACTGCTGTACTGTAGGAAGTGAGTCAACCAGTTTCATGCGTCTCATCAGCGAAGCTTGCATCTCGACTTTGGCGGCTACTCAGCCCTTGGTCGGGACACTCTCTGCGCAATATACTACGAAGTAGCGCCTGAGGACTTCGCTCCAATACCACGAAAATGTTGTTTCGATTTGAATCTAGAACATTGATGGAAGATTATAAATGCACGCAAACGAAGGAATAGAAACACAATACTCATAACGCCGGCCTGGTACATAAGAAATCTCAAACGAGCTTCGACACAGCTTCTTGTAGCTTGGCTGGAACCAATTTGGACCTACCCACGACCAAGCGGATAAGCTCTTCAATACTCCTAGACTCTCGAATCAAAAGGAGGGATACGTCAGCAGCGAGCATGACCACGATCCAGTTGCGCAATTCGACCGCCACTAATGAATCAACTCCGTATGAGTCCAGAGTACGATGAAGCAAGATACCGTCCACCGGAGTGACTGTCAGTTTGCTTAATTCGCCGAGCACTGCGCGTCCGACGGCGGTGACTGCTTCTTCTGCAGTCTTGGCAGACCTGATCTGGTCGAAGTGCTCTGCGCCATTCCCACTGCCGTCGGCTCCTCCTGCACGTCCAAAATTCTCGGAGTCTTGGACCAGATGTGCGATACGCCGTTGCTCCAGCCAGTCAGTTATGCTTACACCGGCCTCGGGGACCAAGCCAATGGTGGCCTGGCATTGCGATCCGCTGTCAGTCAGGGCATAATCGAGAGTGGCAAGAAGCTCGACGACCGAGATGGGGGAAAAGCCTTGACGTTTCATGGTGGCGAGCACAGCGGGAGTCTCACTGACAAAGCCAGCGTCGCCAACGACTCCAACATCGATCGCGAATCCGGACTGGCCTTGGTTTCGTCGATAGTGAATGAAGGCGTCTTGGAACGTACATGCAGCCGTGTAATTAACTTGAGCAGTATGGCCACTGATGCCAGCAATTGATGACAAGACGACGAAAAAGTCAATGTCAATGGGCAGGGCTTCGTGGAGGTTCCTGGTTCCGGCAACCTTAGGGGCCAAAGACGCCTCCCATTGCCGGTGTGTCATCTGGTCAAATAACGCATCCTGTTCAGTAACGCGTCAGTCACTGGGCGAATCACTCTTCTTGGGTGGATGGTAGAATTTACTGACCTCAAGCGCCATCGCGGCGTTAATGACACCTCGAATCGGGCCTAGCCCGTCGACAACTTGTAGCTCTCTTACAACGGCTTTTACGGCCTCTTTAGAAGAAATGTCACAACTCCTGGCAAGGACTTTGACGCCCATGCTGCGCATTTCTGCGACGCACGCGTTTGCAGCTGGAGATTTTTGTCCTGATCGTGACAATACAACAATCGTCCGCGCGCCTCTCGCTCCGAGCCATTGGATGAGACGAATTCCCAGGCCACCAAAGCCACCAACCAAGATATAGGTGGCCTCAGGCTGTAGCATGGGAAGCGCGTACATTTCTGGGAGGGCCTGCGAATGTCACCACGTCAGTATGTATACCTTCCCATCGCAAGCTCAAAAGGGTCATGCAATATTGTACGCACCGGAACAAGTTCATCTTGATCTACCGTGAGGATCACTTTGCCCATATGCTTGCCGGACGATATTAGACGGAAAGCAGCTTCAATCTCGCCAAGCTTGTATGGCTGGATGGTCACCTGGTTTTTCAATTCCCCACTGGCGATTAGTTCAACAACGTCGTTGAGCAAGCGGTACACTAGCTGTTTGTCTTCGGCCATCATCTGCACCAGATCGACACAGGCAAAGGTGATATTTTGAAGCAGAAACTTCGTTGGCATCAGCGAATTGTCCAGGAAGTCCTTTTTGCCAATCTCGACGAAGCGTCCAAAGGATGCGAGGCAGTCCAGAGATTCTCGGAAAAGTTCACCAGCCAGAGAATTCAGAATTACATTGACACCTTTGTTTCCGATCGAGGTACGTAACGCAGGCCCAAATGCTGGAGACCGACTCGTGAAGATGTGAGTTTGAGGAACACCAATGCTCTCAAGAAGAGCGCGTTTCTCCTTTGATCCACATGTTGCATAAACCACGGCGCCGAGATGTTGGGCCAGGATGACAGCGGCTTGACCGACTGCTCCGGCAGCGGCATGGATCAAGATCGATTCTCCTGCTTTGAGTCTAGCTACATCGACCAGCGAGTGGTAAGTGGTTGCCCAGACAATCGGAAGAGACGCGCCAAGTGAGAAGGAGACGTTGTCTGGGATCCGAGCCGCATGATCTCCGTCAACAATGGGGTAATTGTTGTACGATTGCGCATAGTAGCTGCAGACTCGATCACCGACCGCGTAGCGCGAACTCATCTGGCTGCCAACTTCCACCACTGTGCCGGCACAATCGTTCATCATGGTCGCAGAGCCGCCGAGTTCACCAGTGGCAATGAGGACGTCTCGGAAATTGATACTGGCTGCACGACACTCGATGCGAATCTCGTGCGGTTCCAGGCTACGACTGTACTCATGATCATCTACCCATCGGAAGGTTTCTAGTAGCCCAGCTACGCCTGGCTCGACCCTGAGTGTCCGCGAGCGGTTCAGGAAAGACGTCTGCTCGGGCTTGGATCTTGACGTGGAGCGCGCGATGGTCTGTTCGAGCTTCTCGTTGTGGAATAGTCGATTGACGTACAACTGTCCATTTCGTTCGGCAAACTCGTAATCGACATCAGCCAGGCTGCGATTGAAGTCGAATGTCTGAGAGGTCAGAAGCTGGGTTATCAAGGAACTCGTACGCTCGTCATCGGCTCCGCGCGGAGTGCTTGGATCGAGATCAAGCGTGATGTAACGAATGGTGGGTTGTTCCAGCCTCAGAGATCGAGCAAACCCCAGAGTCAGTGCTCCATCGGGCGCGGTCGTGTTCATAGCAGCGCCTCGCGTGATCAAGAGCAGGGCTTTGCACGACAGGGCACAACTCTGGAGTTGCTGCCACAACGAAGCATTCATCTGAGCGAGCGCTTCGCATATCTCTGAGTCTACCACAAGCACTGTATCAGCAATGTTCGTGATGCTTTCAAGACCACCGGTAGTAATCTGGCGCAGACCGAGTCCGGGGCTCTGGCGAAGAGTTTCAGCGATATCGTCAAGGTTACCTATAGAATCTCCGGTCAAACCACTTGCAAGATGGAGTGAGATCTCGCTCAGATCCGGCTTGGATTCAACAGAAGTCTTGGCAAAGATGACACTCATCGTACCGCCTTCAGACTCCGCGTAGTCGGACACAATGATTGGATCAGATTCGAAACCCTGCTCTTGTAACTTTTGTTTCCATTCAGTGTCGGGGAGAATGGGAGATTTTACCCGTCCTTCGCCGGCACCAGACCACCAGCCGGGAAGAGAGCCAAAGACAAGTTGGTACGAAGGTTCTGGCGTCGTGATCTCCATGAGGATCAGCGTGCCCCCGGGACGAAGGAGCTGGCGAATATTGTTCAGAGAAGACGCAATGTCGGGAGTAGCGTGTACAACATTGCAGGCAATGACAACATCGTAGCTGCCAGGTTCGAGACCTTGCGTATCAGGAGCTTGCGCAAGATCGAAAGCCTCATAGTTGACATTGTGGCCACACTGAGCCAAACGCTTGCGAGCGGCGGGAAAGAAGGCTGTAGAGAGATCGGTGAATTCATACTGTCCGATTAGTGGCTGGCCATTCTGAGACATTGCTTGCAGCAAGGGTAGTGTGGCTGAAGCTGTACCACCGCCAACCTCGAGCATCCGGAGCGACGGGTTGTGTAAACCGAGGGCCTTGCAGTACATGTTGATCTGATGGTAGCAGCGAGCATTTCGTTCCTCAGAGTACATCCTGCCGAGCAAATCATCTGGAGTGAGGAAGGAAAGAGGATCTGCAGTGCCACGTAGGAGATCAACAAGATTCTCACCGACGCGTTTTACTGCTTCGAAGGCAACACTGGTATCCGAAGTCGTTGCCTCCCTGGCTTCCAACACCACTTCAGGAGAATAGGCATCTGTGGCCAGGAAGTCCTGCATCCATTTGTACCACAACTGCCGATAATCGGACGCAACTTGGTCTTCTTCGATCTGGCCGAGGGCCCGCTGCACGTGATTGCGTACATCCGTGCTGACAGCAATGTTGCGCAGACGCGAAGATCCAGCAGGAAGTGAGTCCTTGCATTGAGCGATGATTTGCTGCCGTGTCATACTGGGATAATGAAGTACCCACTGAGGGCTGTGTGCCAATTGTCGAGACATTGCCGCCTCGACATTTCCAGGCAGCTGGGCCGTCCTCATTCCATGAACGCTTATTACTGCTCTTTCCTCCACCTCTATTTGAGCGCTCCAGGAAGAAGCTGCATCTTTGGCCAGGGCATAAGTGCGTAACTCGGTTCCTTCTGGAACCTCGAAAGCAGTTGAGATAGTAACTTGTTCAATGAAGACCGGCACCACAGGAGCCCTAATCTCTCGTTCCACTAGGAGACTGGCGCAGATTCCATGGAATAGCGTGGAGTCGAGCATTCCGGGATGCACTATGTATGTTTGCGGTCCGAAGGGATGCGCCGAGCTCTGCACATTGGGCATTTTGTTGGTGGTCACACAACAATCAGTCCGTCCCTGCAGATCCACAACGTTATCAAACGGAGCATACCACTCCATTCCAACCTGACGCGCGGTGGCGTAGAATCGGTTCGGCGAGATGTGGTGCGAGATCGAATCGAGAGTTTTCTCCTTGACCTTCAAGTTATCGCATAGGCGATCTGCTAGCATGGAGTCGTCTGTAATGACGCGGATACGGCCGCGACAATGCTCATTCCATTCTTTGCCAGAGTTTGTCGAGAAGACCCGGAACTCTTTCCAATCTGGCCACGAACTCTTCGCGCTCTGTGCCTCGGGTCGCAGCGACAGACAGATCTCAGTCTCTGTGTCACCCTCCTTGAGTACCAGTGCCTTGGAGAAGCTACAATCGCTTAATGTGTAGCCAATGACTGCCTTAGACTCATCCTTGAATGCCATGAAGCGACGCATCGCCTCAAGAGCCATGGCCAGATATCCGGCTGCTGGAAAAATGACTTGGCCCTGCACAATGTGTTGCTGCAGCCAAGGCAACTCCTTGAGCCTCAGGAAACGACGCCATTTAGGCTCTGTATGGTTCACGTCCGATGATAGGTTGCCCAACAGCTCATGCGGCAAGAATTGACGATGACTGAACTCGCGTGTAACACGAGTTTCATGCCAATGACGCTGCTCATGATTGAAGGCATACGGCGGCACGTCTCTCAGCCTACGTGGCAACTGCGCGCGGAAACCGGCATTCGCGCGATGAAAGTCAATGGGGGCGCCTAGGGTGAAGAGGTCCGCGAGAGCGCGCAACATAGTCTCAGTTGCGCTTGCCTTCCTTTTGAGGCAAGACACATACTGGATGCGAGTCGAAGATCCTAGCCCCTTTAACGTCTCTTTGACTGCACCTTGCATCTGCGCGTGAGGGCCCACTTCCAGGAGAATGTCAATCTCAGGGGTATGTTGTGGTCCTCCATGCTTTTCGCCGAGGATGAGTCCTTTCAAAGCTCCGCCGAAGAGAACTGGAGAGATCAAATTTCGAGCCCAGTAATCTCCGTCCAGCAAAGATCCAGTAGGCAACTCTTTTCCCCACAAGGAAGACATCATGCGCCCAGTAATCGGACGTGGCTGAATATGCGCAATAGCAGATCGGTACTCGTCTTCGATTGACTGCATCATCCGAGAGTGATACGCAGCTCCCTGAGTCTTGAGTTTGCGGTGAAAAACATCAGCTTCTTGTAGCAGGCGCGCTATCTGCTCGATGCCGTCGTTACCGCCAGAAAGCGTCACACTGGTGGGGCTGTTGTAGCAAGCAATCTTGACCAAAGCCGTGTCAGTGGTCTTGATCTGCTCAATGAACGTCTGCACGACTTCAGGTGTGGCGCCAACAGCAAGCATGCCTCCGGATACACCAGTGGATATCAATCTAGATGTTAGTCGACCGCGGTGATATGCCACAGTCAAGGCGTCTTCGAAAGTGAGCGCGTCAACAGCGTAGGCCGCAGCGATTTCTCCACTAGAGTGTCCCACGACAGTTGATGGACGCAACTTCAGAGATGCAAGCGTATCGACCAAAGCCAATTGTATGGCCGTTGAAAGCGTCTGCCCATACTCTGGCTCGTCCACATGTGAGGTTTTGGGGCTCTCATGACTCAGCTCAGTGAACAAGTCCCATTGGCAACCCAAAGCCCGGAGGTGGGTGCTGGCGCGATCCAGAGATTGATGAAAGACGGGCCAATCATTAATGAGCTCTCGACCCATGTTATGATACTGGGCTCCTTGGCCTCCGAACACATACCCAACACGGGCTCCTCCTTTGAATGGCGCTCTAACAGGGACAGGCATCTGCTCCAACACGTCGAGCTGCACCAGCAAATCGTCTTCGTCGTAAGCAACAACGGAAGCGCTGTAGTCGTGGATAGTACGCTTGTTGACTGTCAGAGCTAGGCGGTCTAGGAACGTGTTGACGTCCTCCAACGAAGTGGCGAGGGTTTTGCTAGAATATTCAGCTAGACGCCGTGCATTTCTGTAACAGCCCTGCTCTTCGGCGCCGCTCAAGATAAACACACGAGGCAACTCTGTTGCGACGTCGGATTCAATGCCGGTCTTTTCAATGACGTGGTTGTTGCCGCTGATAATGGAAGTATGCTCCGAGTCATTGACTCCATTGATGCGGCCAACGCCATTGATGCCATTAGTTTCCTTGATTCCGTTCACACCGTTGATGCCATTGGTATTTTTGGTGCCGCTAACACCATTGTTCTGGCTCATGCCGTTGGTGCCGTTCACACTGTTGGTGCCGTTGGCGCCATTGGGTGCATTGATGGGGTTGGAGTGGTTTATGGCGTCGGGATGAACATGCTCATCAGCACGGTCAAGGATGACATGAGCATTGGTGCCGCCATATCCAAAGCTTTAAGAATCAGCACAAGCTCGCAATTTTTAGATCTGGGCCGTTTTACCTGTTGACAGAGATGCGACGAAGAGTTTTCTTCTCAAATGTGGTTGGGATCTGCAACGAGTTAGCTGAATAGCCCTACTGACTGCTGATCTGTGCCATGCATACTCTCAAATTCCAGATGTCCAGCGGAATCTTGGGGTTGGGCTTTTCATAATTGACCTGAGGGGGCAAGGCTTGGTTTTCGAGCATCAAGACGGACTTGATCAACCCTGCAATACCAGCCGCGCTCTCTGTATGACCAATATTTCCTTTGACGGATCCCATGATTAATGGCCCTTGAGTCGAGTCACGGGGGCAAGCAAGTACATTGGCAATCGCTTGAGCTTCGATCGGATCGCCGACCGCTGTGCCTGTTCCGTGGGCTTCGACATAATCCGTCTCAGCAGGAACAAGCCCAGCCTCGGCATATGCCCGGCGAATTAGTTCTTCTTGCGCTTCACCACTTGGCACACTGATGCCTTGTGGTGTTCGGCCGTCTTGATTAAGAGCCGAGTTGCGAATCACGGCGCGGATCTCGTCGCCGTCCTTGATGGCCAACGAAAGTGGTTTCAAAACGACGCAGCCACATCCTTCCCCACGACCATAGCCATTAGCCCGCTCATCAAATGAGAAAGAACGACCATCAGGCGAAAACATCTTTAATTTACTTTGGTAAGTAAAGCGCTGAGGATCCAATAATATATTAACGCCGCCGACAAGGCTCATTGTGCTTTCGCCGCTGCGCAAGCTCTGGACAGCATTGTGTAGTGCCACCAGACTCGCAGAACAGCCCGTATCAACGGTAAAACTGGGACCTCGCAGGTTGAAGAAGAAAGAGACGCGATTCGAGGTAATGGCTGCACCAGTACCGAGGGTGTGGTAGAGTTCCTGATGTTCAGGATCTCGCGCCATGATTTCGCTGTAGTCGGAACTCCACTGGCCAACGTATACGCCCGTCGAGGATCCCCAAAGTTGGGAGATGGTCAAACCAGCATTCTCGAATGCTTCGTACGCAAGCTCTAATGTGAGACGCTGTTGAGGATCCATGGCTCGAGCCTCGGTAGGTTTGATCTCAAAGAAGCTGCAATCGAACGTGGCCACATCCGAGTCCAGGAAATGTCCTCCGGGAGTGTTTGTCGTGCTAGGGTGGGGATCTCCCTTGAGATAAAATGCCTTCATGTTGAACCGGTCTTTGGGCACTTCACTCCATGCCGATTTTCCGCTCGACAGGACGTCCCAAAGACGAGCTGGCTCGGAGGCGCCGCCTGGGAAGCGACAGCTCATGCCAATGATGGCAATAGGCTCTGATGTCATGTTGGAGGCCATTCCAAGGTGAAGGGAAACTATGGTACGTAGTATTAAAAATTCAACCGGGGTATCGGCGCATAGGATATCGCATCCATGCGCAGGCTCGTCTTAAAAAGTACCCTGATTTTGGGGGCTCACATCGGTCATCCTAGCCTAGCCACGTTATACTGACCCAACTTACCAACCCTTGTTACCTGCTACCGACGCAGGGACGAGAGAAAGGGTGGAGCAATACCAAAAATAAACTTATTCAGCTTTTCGAACCGGTCTCAAAGTAGGCCTCCCTACGAACAAGATATTCACCATTTGTCATCCACAGCATTTCTTGACCCAGCACTATGGTGCACGGATAGAGTCAGGTTGATTGCCCTGCTTTCGGGATTGCTAGATCTTGGCACCTGTGGACACCGGGGAGCCGGGTACGACACGGTATTTCGTGAATGCACACGCTAATACATACCTGCATACTGCACGACGAGCCAAAGACATTAGCCTCGAGCCTTCACAACACGACACATTTTCCCCTAACGAACCAAGTCATTAGAAGCCGCAGAATTGACATTTGAACGCCGCCAGATTCAGCTGGTGGTAAAAGAATGTCAATAAGATCGTGATCACACAAGGCTTAGTACAGCGCCTTGCTACTGAATACACAGAAGTTGGTAATAACCAGGGACCGAGGAGGGCAATAATGTTTCCTGGCATTACCGGTACCATTACCTCGGCATTAAGGTTTCCGTGCATAGCACTGCGCATGATATCGATTGCAGCTGTGCGTATGCGCTTTTACATGCCAATTATTAGGTAATCGTACGCTGCATCTGGGTGGATCTAACGTGGCTATACCCTGCACCTTGCTAATGCAGGGTCCAGCCCTACGGCCAACAAGCGCTGTTGGCGTCCATCTTTAGTGGCCGTCTAGCGCTTCTCGATTCGCCTCTACCGTGCACGCTTTCCGAGTAATAACGAAATGACTAGTTTACGAATTGCAGCTCATGCAAGGCCATCAGCAGTAGCCAGTAGCGAGCTAGCAGATCAGCCTTGAAAGCATGTCGCTTTTTTTAGTCTTGACTCGAGTGAGGGTCAGCAACTAGGAGAAGTCAAGCTTCGCTCTCTGTATTCCTTCGTGAAACTTTTTTCTGATCGCAAACTCGATTCAATCCGAAACTTAGATAGCCTTTTACAGAACATTGTCGCGATCAGCGAATTCGCCAGCACCTAATACCATCAACCCAACACACATCGAACATGGCACATTCCGACAGCGCGGAAATACTCATGGAGCCATCGAAGCTCGTACTTGGCAAGGTCATAGCTGACTTGCTCGAGATTGATGCCGAATCCCTGGACTGGAATACCTCGTTTATATTGCTGGGTGGTGACTCCATCCTAGCAATTGACTTTATTGTCAGATGTCGCGACGAAGGCATCGTTGTAGATATGAAGGAGCTCTTGGAGGCGGAAAGCTTGGCAGCACTCGCTGAGCAGATAGACCGCCGCAACATTGGAGCTGCCAACGGAGTCAATGGACACACAAATGGAGTCAACGGAAACGGAAACGGAGTCCATGGACATGCAAATGGATTAAACGGACATGGAAAGCCCGCAGTTTTGAACGGCCGGAATGATTGGAACGCAAGTGGTACGGCGGTTGTTGGTCGTCGATTGCGCTTTGCGTCCATGGAAATTGCACAAGGCGAAGTCGCGCCCATCTTGAGCACATTGGAGCGCATTGTCGCCCGACACTCAGCTTTGCGTTCCAAATGGTCCGTCTCATCACTCGGTCACTGGAAGCTCACATCCAGCGCCCCGTCAACAACAATGGGGCATCGCCAATTTTATTTCGCAGAGAGCTTGGGAGCGGAAAATATGAACGATGCATATGAAGCACTGACGAGGGCTTTGGCATCTGTTGAAGCGCCGCCATTTGGATGTTTGGCCATGGCCAACCATGCAATCAAGGGTACTCGTACCATGGTCCTAGCTGCAGATGCTAATCTCGTCGATTCGCTCTCTATGCGCCTTGTGCTGCGCGAGTTGGAAGTATGCGCCAAAGGGTCGCACGTTGAACCCAGCTTCGACTTCCAATTCAGCGATTGGGTAGCTCAAGGATGCTACGGTCGCTCAGTAGGTCCTCGGCATCGTCGGACTTCTCCAAGGTCACTGAAGTATCCGCTGGAAGAAGCCAATGTGACGAGGTCTAAGTCGACGGACGATACGGGTATGTCGGGATTGGATGGACATGCTGAAGGCTTCCTCACTTTCACGCTTTCTCATTCGACAACCGAGAAGCTTTTGGCATCGCAAACGCACGCTTCCCTGAGGACAAGTCCGGTCGACATTGTGAATGCAGCTCTCTCTCGCGCCCTCTGGTCACACTCTCAGGATCCGGAGGCGGTCCTTCGTATCCAGTCTGCGTACAGCATTCGCGAGGAGCAGAGCATCCCCTTGGAAAGCATAGGCTGTTACGAGGTTGAGGTTGGATTTGAAGCACTCGCACCGGAACCTCAGGAGAGATTGATCCACGCAGTTCGGCGCACACGTGATGCTCGCGCAGGGCACTCCTGCCGCGACGTCTTGGAGCGATGCGCCGGGTCCACCGCGGCAATCTACGTCGACTGCACGCGCCTCGAGAAAAGCCAGCAAGACTTGTCATGCCGCGATTGGCGCTTCTCGGATCCCATTCTCGGCCATGGTGCGCGTGTGGTTGTCGAAATGGTAGCCGACCAGGCACGTGTTTCCGTAGACCTCGAGGGTACGAGTCTTGATGCTGAGCGCGTTGCCAACGAGTTGGAAAGCTGCCTCGAGCAAATGGCGAATGCGCTCATCAACGCTCCGCCAACGGCGACGCTGGCCGACTTTCCCCTCGTGCAGTGGCCCTACTCGGCGCTGGACGAGCTCGCGGCAGAGCTGCAGACGCACAGCATGAGCATCGACGACGTCGAGTCCATCGCCCCTTGTTCGGCGGTGCAGGAGAGCTTCTTTGTCAGCCAAGCCATGAACTCTGCGTCCTACGTCAGCCATGTCTCCATCACGCTGCAGTCTGCCGCCGCCCAGACGGCCGGCGGGCCCGCAGTCGAGCGCATTATCGAGGCGTGGAAAGAAACCGTCAAGCGGCATGCGATGCTGCGCACGACGTTTGTCGAGAGCAAGGACCGGCTGGGCAAAAGCGACCAGGTGGTTCTCGAGCCCTTGGCGATGCCGCCCTGCGTCGAGGTGCGGCCCGCTCCCGCCAGCGGCCGCCCCGCGGTACGCCCACGCCCACGCCCATTCCAAGCCCCGCTCCGCCTCTGCATCTCCGAAGTCAGCGCGGCGGAGCTTCGACTCGAGCTCGAGATATCGCATGCCCTCGTCGATGGCCACTCTGCACGTATCCTGCTGCACGACTTCCGTGCTAGCTATGTGCGCACAGCCCACTTCTCCGCGCAGCCGCCGCTTCCCTACGCTGTTTTCGCATCCCGCCAGCAGCGCGTCGCGGGCAGCGAAGAGGCATCTGCCGGCGCCGCCTACTGGACAGGGTACCTCAACGCCGCCACCGAGTCGCGTCTGCCTGTCCTCACCAGCAATCCCCACCTCTGCCAGCTCGAGACGGCCAGTTGTTCCTTGCCACTACCCGAAGGACAGCTGCGCGCCGTGTGTGGACGATTCGCCATCACTCCGGCGAACCTGTTCCACATTGCCTGGGCGCTGGCCATCCGCCGCCTCACGCTTTCCGACTCCGTCACCTTCTCGTACATTGTCTCTGGGCGTGACAGCCATGTCGAGGGCGCCGAGGCGATTGTGGGTCCTCTGCTCAACACGCTGCCTTGCGCCCTGACATTGACGCCCGAGACGAGCGTCGCCGATGCGCTGTCGTTGGCCAAACGAGACTGGCAAAATGGCTTGCAGTTTCAAAATACACCCATAGCCTACCTGCCCACGGCAAAGACTCAGTCGCTGAAGCTCCTCGGAAATACGCTGCTCTCCATTGAGCGAGAAGCAACAAACAGCCATGTCTTGGCCAAGGGAATCTCCATGACCATAAACGAGAGGACAAGCGCAACAGATGTAAGAGACATGTTCCTTGCTTATTCGGTACTTCACTTACAAAACAACAGTTTGACCTATCAGCCAATTTGAGGTTCAGCGAAGAGCGCATCCACTTGAGCCTCGAGTACTGGGCGTCTAGACTGGCATGGCCGGTTGTGAATGCACACATGACGGCATTCCAAGACGCAATCGACTTCTTACTGCAAGGAGCCGGGAGCCACATTCGCGCCTTTGCAAGCTATGCCGTCCAAGATCGCGACGCCATTTCCAGTTGGAATTCGACCATGCCGCCGCGCCTCGAGCGTCGCGTTCACGACCTCGTCCAGGACAACATGGTCGCCCAACCAGCAGCGCTCGCCATCAGCGCTTGGGACGGAGAGCTGACGTACGGGGAGCTAGACAACGCGAGCTGCCTGTTAGCATGCCATTTGGTTCAACTTGGCGTGGGGCCAGAGGTCAAGATCGGTTTGTGTATGGACAAATCAAAGTGGGCCGTCGTGGCCATGCTGGCTATTCTCCGCGCCGGTGGTGCTATCGTCCCCCTGGGAGTACAGCACCCGCTGGCTCGAATCGAGAGCCTCGTCCAAGACACCACCGCGCCGCTTGTAGTAGTTGACAATAATCACCGACAGCGGCTAGCAGCGCTGGCACCCCATACACAGTTGCTATCTGTGGGATCCTTCTTTGAGGCAGCCGCACCAGGGTGCGCAAGAGGGCTCGAGACGCGTGCAGAGCCGTGCGTGTCTGTACGACCGGAAAATGTCGCTTGGGTCATCTATACCTCCGGAAGCACTGGTAAACCCAAGGGTGTTGTGCTCGAGCATGGAACCATGTCGACCAGCATGCTTGCTCACGGGCGCGTGGTCGATATACAGCCTCACGACAGAGTCTCGCAGTTCGCAGCATACACTTTCGATGTCTCAATCGCGGAGATTTTCACAACGCTCTCGTTTGGCGCATGTGTGTGTGTTCCGTCGGAGAACGATCGAATAAATCGACTTGCGCAATTTCTCTCAGACTCGAAAGCTACTATAGTCACATTGACATCGACCGTAGCAGCTCTGCTCCGGCCACACGATACTCCCTTAGTGCGAACTCTGATCCTAACGGGTGAGGCTGTTCAGCCCAAGGTTGTCGATGAATGGATAGTGCACGCACACATCATTAACGCTTACGGACCCTCCGAAAGCTCTATATGGACGACAGGTAAGACGATCGACAAGAGCTCAGATGCTACCAATATAGGAAAGCCGCTCGCTGGCGCCTTTTGGGTAGTGAACCCTGCTAACGTAGGGCAACTCCTTCCACTTGGGATACCTGGTGAGCTACTAATTGAAGGTCCACTATTGGCGCGTGGCTATCTGAACGACCCAGTTAAAACAGCTGGTGCATTCATCACTGATCCTGCCTTTGTTGAAGAGCTGGGCCTTCGCAATCGGCGCATGTACCGCACCGGCGATATGGTGCAACAGAATGCGGATGGCTCTCTCATCTACCTGGGCCGCCGTGACACACAGATCAAGATCCGCGGCCAGCGCGTGGAGATCGGGGAGATAGAGAATCATATCATGTCCCTGCTGCCAGAAGCACGGGAGGTCATTGTAGATGTGGTCCGTCCTGCAGGCGAAACGGAGGCCCACGATGGATCTCTAGTGCTAGTTGCCGTAATCGAGTTTCCTTTGGCTGGAAAGAACGACAGCAACAACAGTAGTAGAGGACTACAACCCTACAAGTCTTCGCAGATTACTGGCGACACACGCAAAGCGTTGGATGTGCTGGACGCTCAGCTTGGCCAGGTGTTGCCGGCGTACATGGTTCCTACAGCATTCCTACTCGTCTCTAGGATCCCGATAAATGCTTCTGGCAAGCTGGATCGTCGCGCCGTACAGGACGCGTTGCGATTGATGTCACGGGAAATGCTGACCAGCTTCGCTTGCTCGTCAGATGATAAACAAGCACCAAACACTGCAATGGAAGAAAGGCTACAAAGTCTTTGGGCCACTGCCCTTGCGCTCCCCCAACAGGGAGTCGGGATCAACGACTCGTTCCTGCGGCTTGGTGGAGACTCAGTAGCAGCTATGAAACTTACAGCTGCTGCTCAGGCGGAACAGCTCCCGCTTTCTGTCGCTGATATCTTCCGCTGGCCTCGTCTTGCAGATGTTGCAACAGCGATGGAGGAAAAAGAGAAGAACCTCCATCACAGCGACATTAGGGACCAAGATCCAGCTCCATTCAGTCTCTGGACAGAACTTGCCCAGGCAGATAATGTCGATGCCGAGCGGGGCCCACTGCTCGCAGACATTGCCGCACAATGCGGCGTCTCCGTTGATCAGATTGAGGATGTCTATCCATGCAGCCCGTTGCAAGCTGGGCTGATGGCGATTACTGCTCAGCGTCCTGAAGCTTACTTTGTTCAACGCGCGTTCCGGTTAGATCCCGAACTATCTACCGAGCAGCTAAAGGCGGCCTGGGCGAAGCTAGTTGAGCTGCTGCCAATCTTGCGGACACGCATCATTCCTTCGGTTCAGGTTGATTCGCTGCAAATTGTGGTCCGGGAGCAGCCAGTATGGCATGAGTCAACGTCGCTACAAGAATATCTCGCCACGGATCGCAACATCCCTATCGCTTATGGTGGCTCACTGAGTCGTACAGCCATTGTGAGTGATGAGGAGACAAATCGGTACCTGGTGTGGACGACACATCACAGCGTCTATGATGGCTGGAGCTTAGCAGAAATGTCACAACTGCTCGCAAGGTTACTGAGAGGTGAAGCGCCACCAGCATCCTTAGTGCCAGTCTCGCGTTTTATTCGTTATCTAGGACGGCAGAATAAGCAACAAACCACAGAATTCTGGCAGAGGCACCTCGAAGGTGCTGAATGGGCTCGCTATCCTTCTTTGCCATCCCCACAGCACCAAGTCAATCCGCGCGATTTTCTACAGCAGCAGCTCGAAATCAGGTTGTCTACGAGTACAATAACAGTATCCACACTCCTGCGAGCCGCATGGGCACTTCTGGTAGCTACCAACACTGGCTCAAACGAATCTATTACCAGCGTTGTGCTATCAGGCCGCATGGCTGATGTACGAGCTATATCAGACCTTGTTGCTCCAACCGTCACTTCGGTGCCATTCCGCGTCTCGGCCTCGCCGGAACAGTCTATAAGCGACTTTCTCGTTGGCGTTCATGAGTCGGCCACCAACATGATCCCATATGAACATACGGGCCTCCAGAATATCCGCCGCATGGTCCCTAGCCTTGGCCCAGATTTCGACCCGGGTCATAGTTTCATCGTTCAGCCAGCTGGAAAAAGCAATTCAACTATGCCAATGCCACATATGGAGATTGAGGATAACGCAACATCTACAGATGACGCTTTTGACGCCTATCCGTTAACAGTTGAGTGTACACCAGCCCTTAGCACAAGCTGTGTTGGGATTGAGGTACACTACGACCGTACAGTACTCGAGCATGGCCAGGCTCAGCGACTTCTTGCGCAGTTTGTCTCTATTGTGGAGCAGCTAGCGGTTAACGCTGATAGCGAGCAGCCGCTCGGTGATCTCCAGCTGCTTGCAGCGGAAGACACCGCGCTCTTTGCCAAGTGGAACTCTGTTTTGCATCCACGCCTGGAGCGTTGTATCCACGATCTTGTGCTCGATAGAATGGCTGCCCACCCAACAGCACTGGCGATTAGTGCCTGGGATGGAGACATGACGTATGGCGAGCTAGAGGATGCCAGCCGCAGGCTGGCTTCTCATCTCATTGGGCACCATAGGGTAGGCCCTGAGAAAATGGTTGGTCTGTGTATGGACAAGTCGAAGTGGGCCGTCGTGGCCATGCTCGCCATCCTTCGCGCTGGTGGTGCTGTGGTTCCACTCGGGGTACAGCACCCGCTGGCTCGCGTTGAAAAGATTATCAACGACACCTCTATGGACGTGATCCTGGTGAATGCGGCGCAGAATGACAGATTGGGCCCCGTAATGCAAGCTGCGTCAACAATGACTGTCGACGCTGCCCTGCACAAATCGATTTCAGCGACAGCAGCTATTTCAAGTGCTATAGCCACGCCTGACAACGTTGCATGGGTGCTTTATACATCCGGTAGCACTGGCGAGCCAAAAGGTGTGGTCTTGCAACACAGTTCGCTCGCTACCTGTGTGGTGGCCAACGCTCAGTTTCTCTCTCTTTCTTCTGAGACTAGAACCCTTCAATTCGCCGCATTTACCTTTGACGTCAGTATTACTGACATTTTCTGCGCTATGATCAGCGATGGCTGCGTGTGTCTAATGTCTGAGGAAGAGCGCATGAATGATTTGGCTGGATGTTTTCAGAGAGCCAATGCGGACTATGTTGAGTTGACGCCGACAACTCTCAAGTTGCTCTCACCCGAGCAAGTCCCGTCACTGAAGAATCTTGCTGTCGGTGGTGAGGCAATGGAACCACAGATTATCGAAAAGTGGAGCAAGAGAGTCCGCCTTACTAACTCCTATGGTCCTTCAGAGTGCACCGTTGTGTGTGCAGCTGCGAATATGGAGCACGCCAAAGATGCCCAGAACATTGGAAGGCCTCTGGCGGGAGCCTTCTGGGTGGTATATCCTAAGGATCACAACCGCCTCTGCCCTATTGGCGTTGCCGGCGAGCTCTTGGTGGAAGGTTCGCTTTTGGCCCGGGGGTACCTGAATGATTCGTCCAAAACAGCCGGCGCTTTCATTATGGATCCTGCGTTTGTGCAGAAGCTAGGCCTTACCTCTGGCCGTCGCATGTACCGCACGGGAGATATTGTGCAGCAGGAGAGAGATGGCTCGCTTCGCTACATAGGCCGACGTGACACACAGGTTAAGATCCGTGGACAGCGGGTCGAAATCGGGGAAATCGAGACCCAAATCATGCGCCTACTACCAGAGGCGCGCAAAACCATGGTCGATGTGGTGCGTCCGGCAGGCGAAACCCATGGACCACTCATACTAATGGCTATTGTCGAATACCTCGACGCTGGACCTGTGCCACAAGGAGACAGCGCAGTAGAGCCGTACGAACCGTCACAGATCACGGACGCAGCGCGCGAAGCCTTAGAAAAGCTGGACACCGAG